AACCGGTAGCAAAAATCCCTCCCCCCCACCCCACCCCCAGCCACCAGCTTGCTTAACTTAGCTGCTGGTCGCAATGCCTGCCTTGCTTCGCTTGCTGTAATACCTGAAATCCATTGCACCAGCAAGCAACTGAATCTCCCTGCCTGCAATCAAGCTCATCAGTGAGCAGCTCTATCTGCCTGCCTGCCTGCCTTGTACCTTCTATTGCAGGGGTCTCCAACCTTGGCAACTTTAAGACTTGTGGACTTCAACTCCCAGCAAAGCTTGCTGAGGAATTCTGAGAGTTGAAGCCCACAAGTCTTAAAGTTGCCAAGGTTGGAGACCCCTGTTCTATTGGGTAAGTTTTTTTCCCCTTGGGAGCTTTAAAAAAAATAGTTAATTGGAGGTTTTTTTAGTTGTTCTTTTTTTAGACCTAGCCATTTAAAGTTTAGGAAGTTTTAAATATAGCTGCTTTTATATAAAAATTAAAATAAATTAAAATAAAATAATATTTGTGCAGCTGAGATTTAGGTGTTTCTGTAGTGTTTCACTCTAACTACACAAACACACAAAATCTCACAAAGCTGTATGTGGAATTTTGTTTGTGTAAAGTGTGAAAGTTGGTTTTTTGGGCTTTTTGTGGCTATGTGAGGTTCCTGCTTGTTACAGGGGCCATTTTGGATCTAGCACAGCTGCTTTTACATTGTGGGTGAGCCAGTTGTGTTGTGTTGTGTTGTGTGTGTGTAAAGTATGAAAGTTGTTTTTTGGGGCTTTTTGTGCCTGTGAGGTTCCTGCTTGTTGCAGGGGCCATTTTGGGCCTAGCACATCTGCTTTTACAAGTTTTGTGTAGGTTAAAAAAGGGCAAAGAAATGACATTGACTTGGCCACGCCCACCCAGTCACCTTACCACCAAGCCCCGCCCACTAATTAAGTCATGTCCACAGAACCGGTAGCAAAAAAATTTAGATTTCACCCCTGGATGATATCCAACAATATTTGCAATGGTACTAGTTTCTCACACATGGTCTATTACCAGTTCTAAAGCAAGTAAAAGCAGATAAGAACAGTTAACAAAAAGAATGCCACTGTGCATGGTCAGTTCAGACAAGAAAATATTGGCATAATTTATGGTGATGTAACCATGTAACCAAGGCAGTGGTATTAGGCATCCGTTAAGACTGCAGGAAATATAAGGTCTATGAATAACTTTTTAACACTTGATTTAATCAGTTTATTTGATGTACTACTCTATGAGAAATATGAGCCAATGAGATTTTACATATCTATATTTCTGATGATCCTTAATGAATTTTTGTTGAGATCATAACTGAAGAGACTTTGTGAAGTTGTTTATGGATAAAAGATAGAATATGGAAAGAAGAGATAGTTGTATTTTGTGGGACGATACTAAGTTATAAAATAATTTATATTTCTTTTGCTGAAGTTGAAAACTCGTTTTGTTATATATTTTTTCTTTATTATTTTTCTCTACTTTCTGCATCTTCTATTTTTTAATTCTACTTTTGTATGCTACTGCTATAATTATAATCATTAATATAATTACTATAATTTTTTCACATTCTAGATCAAGGTTTTGAAAATATAGTCTGGTAAGTATAAATAAAAATTGGCATTTCTTTATGATTTCATATTGTTTTACAATATAAAAAGCTGACATGACAAAATATCCGCAGGTTTTAATTTAAACTTTATTAAGTCCAAGGTAAGATACTTTATATATTTCAAGTTCAAAATATTACTGTTCAATTCATAATAACAAAATGTTTAATACAGTATTGTAAAGTTTGGCATTTTTTCTTCCCATTTGTTTTCATTTGTTTCACAGAAGCATAAAATGTTAAGATTGGAAAATATTTTAGACATGAACTGGTCCAAACCTCTGTAGGAATCCACTACATTTCTTTCATTTATTTTTAAAAGAATTAAATCACCACTATGGGTATCCACTACAAGATCATGTGCCATCTTCCAAGGTTGTCAGTTCCATGAACAGTTCTCATCTTTAGCATCTTTTTTTCTTGATAATCAACTGAAATCTATTTTGTTGTAATTTGAAGTCACCTTTTTTTGTCCAGTCTTCTGGAACAATTGTGAACAATTGCATCATTCCTTTTTAAAAAAATGTTATTTATCACATTTAGACCAGTTGGCCAACATGCACGTGCACGCCAGAACCCCAAAAAGAGCAGCTGGCCGGTGCGCATGTGTGCTGGACCAGCTGGCCGGCACATATGTGTGCAATGGAACCCGGAAGAACAGCTGGCAATGGTGCACGTGGCCAGAGAGGGCTCTGCGTGCCACACGTTCGCCATCACAGCCCTATATCATTTCAGACAAATAGTTGTCCAATCTCTTCTTAAAAACTTTCAGGGTTGGAGCATCCACAACTTCTGGAGGCAAATCGTTCTACTGATTAATTGTTCTGCCAGGAAATTTCTCCTTAGTTCTAGGTTGCTTCTCTCCTTGATTAGTTTCCATCCATTGCTTCTTGCTCTGCCTTCTGGTGCTTTGGAGAATAGATTGACTCCCTCTTCTGTATCCCTTAGATAATATCCCTTAGATATTGGAACACTGCTATCGTATTCCTTCTTTTCATCAAACTAAACATACTCAATTTCAGCAACCGTTCTTTATGTTTTAGCCTCCACTTGTCCACTAATCGTCTTTGTTGCTCTTCTCTGTACTCTTTCTAGAATCTCAACATCTTTTTTACATCGTGGTGACGAAAACGATGCAGTATTCCAAGGGTGGTCTTACCAAGCCATTACAGAGTGGTATTAAGTACAGGTGATATTGATTCTATCCCTCTATTAATGCAGCCTAGGACTGAATTGGCTTTTTTGGCAGCTGCAAATATAATTTCACAGGTCTGTAGGGGCTTACATTGTAGCATGGCTATACAGTATTACAATGACCTTATCATAAAAAATAAGAGTAGTACTTTGGTTTTATTCATTTTTCCAAAAATCATTTTTGTCCTTTATTTTGGTCATTTATCTTTTACCATACAAATGATACCACTTAATGTATAGACTTTCACATTCATATGAAATATGGAGATTGAATTATCCTTTTTAGAATATTCAAGAAAGTTTTCTTGAATTTAGTTTTCTTGAATATAGTTTTACTCTTGAATTTTCCTTTGTAAAGCAAAATTATAAACACTTCTTAATCCTTACAAGCTTCTTTCAAATATGTCCTTTTTTCAAGTTTGTCCTTTATTTTTTCCGACAAAATATCCTCAACCATAAACCAAAGGATGGCCTATTGTTTAAATAAATGTTATAAGCAAGAGACCCCAAAGACTAATCTGGAGCAATGAAATCTCTGGACAAAGCAAAGGCACAACTATTATACAGGATGTTGTATGATATTCTAAAACTCTTCACCATATCTGAAAAAGGCCTACACCAACACTGCAGAATACTACAATCAATGTTGACAGATGATGACATATGCAATATTGATGGAAGTGCTTTAGAAAGCTCTTTGGAGATGCATTTCAGATATCCTTAAAACCACCATTCCATTTATTGGTGAAAATTAATCTGAACATATTCTGGCTAAATCATTGCTTTATGATTTATGGAGGATGATGTAACCTCCATAATGAAATCTGTATCTTTTTCCAAATACTAAAATATTTTTCCTCATTAAAACAGCTATGCAATGGAGACTCACCACAGAAAAGAATCAACATTTTCTGCAAAAGAACAAAAAGCAGTAAATAAATTGAAAAGCCAACACGATGCAAAGCACCAACTTCTAGAGGCATATTTAACTGTGGGAACCAGTCATTACCGCAATTAAATATGCCTCTAAAAGTTGGTGTTTTGCATCATATTGTCTTCAAAACTTATTTACTTTTTTTTTTTAAATCAAGAAACGTAGGGTGCATGGTATATGCACTGATCTTGATAGGAATTTCTAGCCAGGAAGGCTGCTGCTGTTGCTATACTTGTAACTATACTTGTAACACTAACTATAGATCATGAACTGTGTTATCAGCCTGCAGCAAAAAGAGATGGATGAGAAGCAAGATTATTCATTAATTCATTTATTACATTTATATGCTGGCCATCTCACTGTCAAGCAATTCTGGTAAATAACTTCATTAATTGTTGCTTTGGGGTCAGAGCTAGTCAACCAATGATTTTTCAGAACTGTTCCTATTCCACGTTGTCAGTATGGGAAGTATATTGCTTTATTAATTGGTATCCAAATCTCAGTTCTCTGCTTTTTCCTTCTCCATCCCCTTTTCTCTTTTGAGGTGCCTAGAGTGTCTGCCTGTGATTTCAAACTTTTGAAATCCATTTTAAGTCTTTTTGACTGAATAACTGTAACCATAAATTAATACGCATGGAAAAAATTGTGGAAACAGGTAGCTTTAGAAAAGAAAAACTGTGTTAGCAGCTCTTGTAAAACACAGCTTCATAAGTGCTTCCATGTCTCAATTTTTGAATTAGTTTGAAGTCTAAATAGTGGCTGGTGCAATTTGGATTAATACATTTTAGATTGTAAAGTGTTCAGTTGGAGAACGGAAGCATTCAGAAAAAGAATCTCCATAGACATTCAGTAAGAGAGAATATAAAATTGCAGGAATGCTGTGGCAATGAGATAATTTTATGGATGTTATTAAAAAGGAGATAATGAAGAGAGAAATGCAGATATACTCGTGGGTAAAAAAATAAAATAGAAAAAGGGGAACATCTTTTTCTGCATTTCCTTCCCATAGCCTTTTCTTCTGTATTAGGTTTTTAAATATACGTTAGCTAGCTGTTTCTCATGATTCTGTGGCCTATTTTAAATTACATGTAAATTAAATACACAAATGTTTTAAAACGACATTTAAAATAGGGTTCATACAAAAATCTGTCAAATAATAATCATTTTACATTTAATTTGATTAAAGGAAGAAGTAACCACACTGGTATTTTTTTTTAACTGTGAAAAACAAAAGACAATTGTGGTATTTTAGAGATAAATTTATTATTACTTACGTTTTTGTATATAACAGCCCACTTCAATACATGCCCACTGTCCAGAGTCCCTCTGAGGGAGATGGTGGTTAAGAAGTTTAATAAACAAACAAACAAACAAACATTGCAACTTAAGATGCATCTAATATTGTGAATTGCCTCCAGAAAAGGCTACACATTAGATCAGTATAGGTACTCCTTCACTTACTACCAAAACTGAGACCAAAATTTTGGTCACTAATGATGTAATCATTAAATGAGCCATCGTATGATCAGGCCCAATTCTACTACCATTTATACAACCTTAATTACCAGTCAGTAAGCAAATTAGGGGTTAATAAGTGAATCAAGTGGTCCTTAAGTAAATCTGACATCCTCAATTGGCTTTGCTTGCTAGAAGCTGGCTGGCAATGTCACAAATTGGGTTCACATGACTGCAAGTCACTGCAACTGTTGTAAATGCAAGCCAGTTGCCAAGCACCCAGATTGCAATCAAATGACGCTGCGGATGGTGAAATTGTCGTAAATCTGAGGATGAGTCATAAGGCATTGTAAAGTTGAACTGTTGTTAAATGAACAGTAGTAAGTGAAGGACTACTTGTAATTTTACTATGTTTTATTAAAGTAACTTTTACAAAGGGAATGGTTGTTATTCGGTCACTAAGTCATGCGACCCCATGAACCATAGCATACCGGGCCCCCCAGTCTTCTACTGTCTTCCTGAGTCTGCCCAAACTCATGCCCATTGCATGGATGAAACTATGTAATTATCTCATGCTCTGCTGTCCCTTTCCTCTTTTGCCTTCAATCTTTCCCAACATCAGGGGTTTTTCCAATGAGTCCTCTCTTCTCATTTGTGGCCAAAGTATTTGAGCTTCAACTTCAGCATCTGCCTTCCAAAGGACAGTCAAGGTTGATTTCCTTTAGAAACAAAGGGAATAGGCCATCTTTTAGTAGAGTAGTTAAAAGTCACAGTATTACTGACTGAGAGCCATGTTAAACAGGCAGTGGGATCACTCTGACAGTGGGTAAGACCATGGTCTAAAAGTGGGTTCCTAACATAATACCTGGTGAGCAAGAGAAAAAAAAATCAAAGGCAAAAAATTGTAGACAAAATTAAAAAAAACACTTCAACATTTTAAATTGATCTTGGTTGCTGCAAAAAAGGCTGCATGCAGCTCCCTATGGGCTGGGAAAGTCCAGCCCATAGGGACTTTCTTACTTTAAAAGGGGATACTGTTCCTATGGCATCTAATAAAGCAAGTCAGGTCTGACTCTCAGACCCACATTTGATAGGAAGTTACAGAAGACTGCTCTTATTTGGACTTTTTGTTTCTTTATTTACTTCTTTAATTATCAAAAATCAGTGTCTACATTATGATGTTCAATCTTCACCTACTTGTTTGTAGTCCCTCCTAAATAGCCACTCTCCCTGTTGCTCTTTTTTGTTTGACTTTTGTATTTCTTATATAAAGGCAGGGTTATATGCATACATAATATACTGTTGTGTGATTTCATGAAACGAGTATAATGCAAAATAGAATTTGGAGCTAAATGAAATTTACAGTTCTGCCTTAGCACTTTGCATTAAAATGGCACATAGCTTTTAAAGACTGAGCCAATGAATCTGTATCCATTTTCAGCATACTAATTAAACACATTGTCCCTTCTGTTTAAATTGTGGTTGTCTGACACAGGGCAATTGTGAATATCTATGTACAAAACTGATGAATATTACAGCCAACTAGGATTCTATGAACTTAGAAAACAGCAATATTTGCAAAAATGAGAAATTATAGAAATACCACAAGAGAAAATGCACATGTGACACTCTGAAAACAGTGCATGCTAGTGCATTTTAAAGTGCTGTATTAACACTGCATTTATGGGAATCATTGTTATACATTACCAAGTTTATGAACTATTGGCAAGACAAAGCAGAGATCTGAGTTTCTCATTCCATGCCAATACAGTATCTAATGTTACAGGTATCTATGAGTTTCACTTGCTTCCATTCACAAAATTTCAAGAAAAGTAATACAAGTCACTTCTCAATAGATCTGCTACAATAGTAATTTTCATTTTGATCCAAGTTGTATTAGCCTATTCTAAAATGGAATTTTCTAGGAAGGAATATTCTAAAAAGCTATTTTTATTGATAAGTCATTTTGTACATAACACTTTGATTCATAAATTACTATGTTCCTAGGATTGTAAAAAATATAATTTGACTTTCACTACTTCTCTGTACCGGAAAAATACTGGATTTGTGACAGTACATGTTCTACTGGTTTTACCAGTAAAATAATACTGCTTTGTCAACCCTAACCCTTAAAGAATGTCCCGAAAGCACATGGTTTTAACTACCCAGAGGTTCACGAAAAAGCAAGGAAGATATCCAACTTGCTTTCCAAACTTATCGAATTTCCATCTATCAGAAACCTACAGGAAAGCAAAAAGAGAATCTGAACTCATGTATATCCGAATGCAGGTCAAGAATCGACTTGCTCCTTCCCAACAAAAGCCCCTTCCCCTACATCTTCATGGTAATATGTAATCGAAAAGGATGGAGAATCATTTGATTGAAACGGCTGGTAAGCAGTCAGTAACTCTTGCTCAGTTTATTGCAATTCCTCAGAAGGCGATTGTCATCGGCATCCTGGGAGTTTAGCCCTTTATTTTATTTTAATTTTATTTATTTGTCAAGCATATAACAGATAAAAGTATAAACATGATTATGAATACATGAAATGGATACGAATAAAAAGCCGTTGCTCAATCAAATTCTTTTGTCTTCATTTGATTTTAGCACAGCAGTTTATGAAACCTTTATACTTTCTGTCTGCGCACGAGGGAAGAACAGCAAGAAGCTATTAAGTCTACGAGATCACGTATTTTGTATCATTTTCCCGCCTAGCGAACACGGAAACCGGAAACCGGACTTATGATGTCTATTTTTCACCTTTATGGCAGGAGTCCCCGAAGCACCCTTAGAAAATGAAGGATAACATTGGGTGGGGGGGGGAGGAGGGGAGAGGACATCTCTGCTTGTGCTGGACGGGTGAGACTCTTCTAGGGATCGGCGTGGCCGCATTTCGAGCGCGAAAAGATCCCGCTCGCGCCCAAGGACCGTCGCGCAATCTCTGCGGCTGCCGACTTAGCCCCACCTCTGCGCGTCCTGGCGCCAGGAAGGCGGAAGAAGTTCGACGGGAGGAGGCGGAGGAAGACGATTTCTCGCTCCTTCTCGCGGCGCTTCCCTCCTTCTCCCCTCCGCGGCCTCCCCCTTTCTCTGGCCGCTCGCGCAGCTGCTCGGCACTCGCTATATAAAGGGCGAAACAAGCGGAGCAGACGGCTGGCGGCTGCAGCCCAAGGGCCGCCGTGTGAGGCCGGGCGGCGGAGGAAGGAGGGGGGGAGAGAGAGGGAGAGAGAGGGAGAGAGGAGAAGAAGAAGAAGAGCGAGAGGGTGGCTTCTTCCGCGCGGGCGGGTTAGCCGGGCTGAGGAGGACGCCCCTGAGGCGAGACAGGGCGGAGGAGGCGGACAACAGCGGCGGCGGCAGCAGCGGGGAAAGGGGGGACCCTAGCTCGCCTCAGCCTGCTCTTGTCCGGAGGGGGGTGTCGGGGGCGCCCTGCCTCGGGGTGTGTGTGTGTGTGTCCTACCCAGGGGTGGTGCGGGACATGGCGAGCTCGACTAACACAAACCCCGTGGTAAGGACTAGGGTTGCGCAAGGGGCTCTGAACGGGAGGGCGGCGGAGGGGTGGGTGGGGGGTGTTCGGTTTGGGGATGGCGGGGCAAGGGCGGGACGGCGGCGGGAGCGGCAGCAACAGCCGCCCCGGATTCGCGGGCTTCCGTCCATCCCTCCTGTGGGGAAAAGAGAGGGGCGAGCGAGCGCTTGGGTGCCGCTTCGGGGGAGGCGCGGAAGAGGCGCCGCGGGGTCTGGAGGGAGCCCGCTTCGTCTCTGCGAGTGTGGGGGAGGGAATGGGGGGAAGGCTGGGGAGTGAGGTGGCGGTTTTTTCCCCCGACTTGGAGGAAAGGCCAGCAGGGGTGGGGGGAAGCGTGCCTGGAGGTGAGGCTTCGCCCCCCAAGCATTTAACCTGCAACGGCCGTGGTCGAAACCGCTTCTTTCCGCAGACTATTAAGGCATCGGTAACGAATGGTTGAAAAGCACCTTTTAATTCCTAGTCTGGCAGAGAACGTCTCTTCCTTCCCTTCACTCAGGGAGATGTATTTTTATATTCTTATCTATATCTGAGAAAAAGGCCCTTTTGATCTGTCCGAGTTTTCTTCAGGAAGCGCTTTTATATTAATAGCCTCTCTTTTCTTTCCCGCCTCCTTTTCTATGCTTCTCCCTTCAGTTCTTTTAGAGAGGACAGGCTCAGCTTCTGAGTCTCGGTTTCACATCGGTATACAATAAGCAGTCACACGGAAAAAAAGAGAAAAAAAAAAAAACCCTCCCGGCCCCTTTCATCACTGTTTCTAAGGCACTAAGGAAAAAAAAAACCCAATGCAAATCAAATGCACTCGAAAATAAGCACCCCACCGGCCAAAAAATAAACCCCTGCTGACCAACCGAAGTCCTGATGCTGATTTGGAGGCTCTCTCATTTTGTGCTCTCAGATCCATCATGGCTTCCCCTTGCTTTTCTCTCCCTGTTCCTTGTGTTCCTCCTCCCTGTGGCTGCCCTGTTTATATAGAGCCATTGCCGCTCTCTAATATAGACTCTGCCAGGATGGGAAGGTGCTTTCCAGCCCCACGTCACCGCCTCTCCATTTAAACACCACATCAGCCTTTAAATACGGAGAGAGCTGTGGAAAGCAGGCTGGGAGGTGCCTGCACTACATAGGCACGGACCAAAAAAGCGGCTGTCTTTGTTGCTCAGAAGCTTTCGCTGGCTCTTTTCAAGCACCATCACATGATAAATAGCTGCTATTTCTTGTTTTTCTGTATAAGGTTATTTTTTTGTAAATCGTTTTTATTCTACCGTTAAGTTTATAAAAGTTCTATGGAGTGACTATAGCTGAGTGCAGTGGGATTTTTTTGAATTAGTTTTCAATAGGAAATCAAAACAGCATACACTACATTTTGTAATATTCATGTAATTATTTTTCTTGCTCTTAAAACATTTTTTTACCTTTGGAATGTAGTAAAATTTCTATGGGTATTATTGAATTGTTTTAAATCATGCCATCTCAATTTTATCTGGTTGAGAATTGAGATTTAGTACGACTGTTGTCAGTGTGACTACATTGCCCTACAGTGAAATAATTTGATTTAAAGGTCAAAAAGGAGGATTTGCAAGCTCTAATGCATAGTTGACATAGTCTTCATCTTTTTATGCTGGAAAAGTGAAATTCTGCTAGGCATGTCTGCTAGAAAACTTGGGGTTTCCATGTAGTTTTTCATTTACTTAGGTTGTTTTCACTTTTAAAGGACCGTCAATGTTTTGAAATATTGCAATAATATATAAACATTTTCAAACAGTTATTTGTCACTTTTTAAAGCCTAAATTGTATAGGTCTGTGATTGAAGATGTCATTAATGATGTCAGAGAAGTCTTTCTTGATGCAAGTGTGGATGAGCAAGTCCTTGTGGAACTTAAAACAGTAAGTTATAACTTCATGTGTCTGAAATAATTCTTACCTTTTAGCAGGCGAGGACTATAAATATGTTGGTGTAAATGCTCGGCCTGTGAAGAATAGTCCTTGAATCAGTCCATCAATAAATTGTGTGTGAAGAAACTAGGTACGATATGCTTTGAGTATGTTTAATAAACTTTATTAAACGTTTCTAAAAAGATGTAAAAACTAACACAAACTACAAGAGAAGGAAAAAAGTACAGTGCGAAAGAATAAAAAGAAAGAAGAGCTTCTGATTTTGTCTGCAGCAAATATGATTACAAAATTATATCTTACACTTAACAATTACAAAAATTACTTTTTCTATTATCCCTTTTTTTCTAATCAAAGCCACAAACCATAAATACATTTTCCGTTTCATGCAAAAAGTCTGTAAGGGGTTTCCATTCAGCCATAAATGTAGATGTTATATTTTCTCTGATCAAGGAAATTAATTAATTCCATTAATTAATCCATTTCTGCAAACACCTAGCCATTCCTCTGTTGTGGGATGTGTCAAACCTCTTCACTTTTTGAGCATATAATTCTGCTGCAGTTGTATAAAAAACAGTTCCATGACTTTATTCTACTTACATTGATCCCAAAAGAAAAGTTTGTGATTTCAATATTGCTTTAATTTTTTTAAATGTTCTGAATTAATGTATGTATTTGTATCCCAAAAGTTTTGGTTTTTAACACATCCACCAAACATAATACAATGTCCCTTCATGATGTTCATATTTCCAACAAAGATTCAAAGCACCTTTATGCATTCCAGACAATTTTTTGGTGACAAATAAACTATAACAATGCATCATTATTTTATTAAAAAATCTCTTTAAAGTTAGAACATAATAGAAATTTTAATACTTTCACCCATCTATTTTCCTTTTGTTCCATTTGTATATTGTAACCAAAATTTTAACCATTTTATATATTCAACTCTAATGTCTCATATGTCAATAAAAAAATATACATTTTAGCAATAACACGTTCCTTGTTAGTCCATAATTCTGTTTCAAATTCATTCTAGAATATTAAAAACCCAATTATCTTTTATCCAATATGCTTCAAGTATTCCTCTATAGGTATCGATAGGAATTCAGAAGAAGCTTTTATTCCCTTGTTTTTCATGCAAGAGATACAAAAATAGATTGGATGATGGTCCATAATAAATTTCAACTACACTAATCTACCCAACATTGGCCAAGGAAGTCATTTTTTTGAAGAAATTGATGGGATGCTACAAAGAGTCAGCTGACTACTGATAACTTGTTTCCAATGTTACATTTTAAAAATGTGTAACTATCATATATGTCAGTAAAAAAAAAACAACCTAAAGTTTGTTTATAATTTACATTGTTATTTACTCACCAGTAAATGTTTTTTTTTAAATAAATACAGCTATGGGAAAACAAATTGCTGCAATCCAAAGCTGTTGATGGATTTCATTCAGAGGAACAGCAACTTTTACTGCAGCAACAGCAGCAGCAGCAACAACAGCAGCAACAGCATTCCCATCATCACCACCACACGCAGCCACAGCAAACAGTTCAGCAACAGTCCCAGACCCAGCAAGTCCTTATTCCGGCAACACAGCAAAGTAAGGCCCTTTCTGAATCTTAAAAGGGTTCTTGCCAATGTTCCAATCTTGTAATCGGGAGATTACTGGCACTCTAGGTTTGTAGTGTAGGTCCTTGTGTGGTCACCAAAAACAATTTTTTAAATATTTTCCTAACAACAATCCTGTGAGATAGGTTGATCTGGGAGAGAATGACTGGCCCAAGTCGCTACCACATAAGGTTTCTATGAAACTCAGTTGATGTTACTGCCTAGTTTTGTTTTTATGAGTTTGATTTTAAATATGGTTTTTATGTTATTTTAATTTTTAATTGGGACCCACCCAGAGTTTGTTATAAGATGGGTGGCTATTTAAATGTTTTAAATAAAAAAGTATATTATTTGGCATTGTAGTTTCAGTTTTTTCCCAGCTGTTGCCCATTTGAATTATCATTTCATAAAGTGTCACCTGGAAGCAAAATATGTCCATGTAGTATGCAGGAAAGTTGATACTAAAATAGTTTTCTTCTTAACCTTTTCTTAAATATAAGTAACTTTAGATGAAATTCTAACTCATGGATGAGCAACTGTTTTTCGGGGTCCATTTTTTATATTATATTTTATATATAGACAAAGCCAGATGAAAAATTGTTGCCAAAAATTGCCAGTGGCAAAGGCCTAAGCAGGCACACAAATTTCTTGAGTGAGATGGTTTTTTACATTCATTCAACTTGCAGTTAATAGTTTTTAAAATAAAATGAGACAAAATTAAGGTCAAGGACGATATTCCCCCCCCCCCCATTCCCACAATATGCATGTGGACATTAGTGAATAAATCTTCAGAGAACTAATACTCCATTTAAATCTCTGATTAGATTTTCTTTGCACTTCCTTGTGCAGGGAAAAGTGTGGGATTCTAGGATAGGGAGATGATGGAGCTGAGAAAGAAGCATATGGTCAGCCAAATATAGAGTTTTCCTTACTGAATTAAGGAAATTGTGCCCAGAGTTACCTTATGGTAAAATGGGCGGCCTATAAATTTTATAAATAAATAAGTAATTTTATTCACAAAACAGCCATTTTAACTTTGAAGTAGAATGTGCTTCAAATTGAAGATATTTTACACACCACTGCAAGAACAGTTATAAATTAATAACAGGATTTCTGTATTTGTTACAGACTACTTTTACTCAACTGTATATTTTATATCAGAGTTTACAATATATTTAATTCAAGAGGAAGCATAATAATTTGTTATCAATACACCTTATAAAATGTTTTATGATGGTCATAGCAGTGATTGCTTGTTTTATTCCAGCACCTCAGCCTCAAGTTATTATGCCAGATTCCAAACTGATTCAGCACATGAATGCATCAACCATGGTAAGAGTATGTAATTCATAATGCTTTAACTGTGCATAATAAAAATCAGATAAGGGAAGATAGTTCTCTTAACAACGTGTTTTCTTCCTACGTTCACTATTTTAGCCAGGTTCAAGATTTCAGCTCTGTTCATTGTTAGGAATTTGTTTTAACAAAACATGATTTAGATAGAATCATCTATTGCCTTCACACTCATATTCTCTTAAAAGCAACCGTCTTATGCCAGTAGATCACTCCCATTAAAATTGGTCTCTTCTAATTAATTGACCTTAATATTAAAAGAATCTTATTTTACTGTTAACTGGAAAAATGCCTTAAATTATTTAAAGATGCTTCATTGACCCAATACAAAGGAAAATATGTTTTCTTAAAAAAAATAGAGTGGTTGCAAAATTTGAGAAAAAGCCTATGTTTTAATCTATTAGTAGGTTTTCTCTATTTCTTAAGCACTTTGCACTAGGTTTGTCCTATTGGTGATAACTGCTGTCAGCTTTGCACATCTGTATGTAGCTAGAATTAGTTTTGGTTTTACAAGCAATATAATTTTTCAGAAAATGACAGGCGAACATTAAAAATAAGTTCATCTTTGCATTCATATGGTACACGCAAATGCTGCTTAAGATAGGACATTGCATTTTAAGCTTGAGAGATTCTTAGCTTTAATATTTTTAAAAAATATATCAATGAAATATACTAATAGGGAGCTCTGGTTTCTACATTTTTACATGTCATTTTGTTTACCTATCATTTAAATTATGCTTAAAGTAAATGAAATTATAGGAGCATGTAATCATAATTAAAATTTCATGGGTTGCTGTAACCTGTTCTTTAAGCATGACCAAATCTGGGTCAAATCAACAATTAGAGATTTGGGGGGGCGGGCAGAGTTGCTATATTTTACATAGCTAACAACAGGATGCATAGGCAACTTAACTTATGCTGTGTTATTAAATACTGTTCTGTCTTATTTGAATTAAATCTATCAACAAGCTGAATAAATTTCAGTTTGATTCTGAAGTTTGAAGAGAACATAAATATTCGATTTCACTTGTTATCTAAAATCCACATTCTTGTACAAATATGTATAAGAATGTATACAAAAATTTATGTGATGTTCTACTTCTGACAAGTCAATTCATTTCATTAAAATTAAAAATAGAAAATTACTTTTTAAATGAAAAATAGTATGAAAATATGTATGATGTTGAATGTGACTTAGTTTGACTAAAATAAGAGTAAAAAAGCATTTTGCATATAATAATCTATAAATCTCTGTCTTGCTATATCTCAGGTTTGATTTCCTAATTTAAGTAATGTTTTGTACTATATCTTTCAGAGTGCTGCTGCTACAGCAGCCACTTTGGCTTTGCCTGGTGGAGTTAGTCCTGTTCAGCAATTACTTACAAGTTCAGGTATTTTTTTATCTAATTTTTCAGTCCAAATATTTATATGGTGCTTCTCATTAAAATCTTAGTATGCTTGCAACAAATCCTATTTCAAAAAGATAATTTAAATAAATCAATATTAGTATATGGAAAGAAAAACATAAAAAGGTATGAGGCAGCTGATGTAAACTGACCTTGCTTGATAGAGATATTTACAGGTAGAATTATCCAAACCTAAAACAATCTTCTACAAGATAAAGATTGTATTGAAAGTTATAGATTGTAATCTGCCATGCTGGTCTAGTGCACTTGTTAAATAATTTTTTTTCAACTTCCCAACCTATTATAGAGAAAGAACAACTCGGCCAAAGTCACCAGGTAGCTTTTATGCCTAAAGAAAGATTATAATCTGGGTTTCCCATTCGTAATTCAACACCTTCACCACTATACCACATTGTTTCGAAAGTCAGTTTACATTTTTTCCAAAAATATCAATAAATCAATAAAATCTGTAATGCAAGAAAATTTTCTTAAAGCTCATTTTCCAAAAACTTGCCTAGAAAACTATGCACTGTTCTCAATAACTCAAAATGATTTATGAGAACATTCTAAAGTTTTAACTGCTTTAAAACTTATTCTATAATGCAAGCACACAGCTCTATATCTCCTTACCAATTAATTGCAAGGAAGTAATTTTGAACAACTTTTAAAAGCCGCATAATTTTTATAATGGACTGGATATAAGAAAATAGACTGAATTTAAATCTAGACAAGGTGGAGGTGCTGTTACTATAACAAAAACAGGATTTGGGAAATTGAGGTGAAGCTTAGTTGGACTTGCATTAAAAGAGTTAGTCTGTATTCTAAGAGTACTCTTTGATCCCTAGTGTCTCTGGATTTGCAAATATAGGTAATCCTCGAGTTACAGCCACAATTGACCCAAAATTTATGTTACCAAGTGAAACATTTGTTAAGTGAGTTTTGCCCCATTTTATGACTTTTCTTATCACAGTTGTTAAGTGGATCATTGCATTTGTTAAGTTAGTAACATGATTATTAAGTGAATTTGGATTCTCCATTAACCTTGCTTGTCAGAAGGTTTCAGAAGCTGATCACATGACCCAGGATATTGCAATTGTCATAAATATGACAAGTTGCCAAGCATCTGAATTTTGATCACGTGACCATGGGGATGCTGCAATGGTCATACGTGCAAAAAGTAGTCACAAGTCACTTTTTTTTAGTGCTGTTGTAACTTTCAATGGTCATTCAATGATCTGTGGTAAGTCTAGGACTAGCTGTATTTAGTAAGGAAAATGCCTGCACAATTAAGGCTATGTACCAGCTGTGAGTTCTAAAAATGCTTACTGAGCTGTGACTTCCTGAGGTGATCACCATTTACCTTGATGGTTTTCTACGCTTACTAAAATGTCACATTTTAGTAGTACAACATGATTTTGCATAGGGCTATTCTTGAAAGATTTACTTTGGCCATGTCATGCATGCAACTTGTTGGAGAAGTCAATGATGCTAGGAATGATTAGTAGATTCAGCAGAAGGGGCAAACAAAGAACTCACTGGCTTGATACTATCAAAGTTGATACAAAGATGAACATCCAACTACTAAAATAAGCTGTGCTTGACAGGGTTGCACTTGCCAATAAAGTCACCAAGATTAGGACAGGACTGAACAGTTAAAACTACTACTCCTCTTGAAAGAATTTGAAAAATGCAGTTAGTGCAGAATGTTGAGAGTGGTATGCTAACCAAGGTTCAAGATAAAAAGATGCCTACACTGCAGGATCTAGGCTGGTTGCCATTTGTGTACTGATCAATATTTAAAGTTTTGGGGCTTTTTTTAAAACCCCTAAAATATAAACTTGACTGATGAGACTCCTATATTTGTAAAACTATCCAGTCACTTAATAAGAGGATTCCTTTTAAAGATGCCCTACAGTGCCAGAGGCTCATCTATCTGGTACAAGAGAGAGGCCCTTCTGTGTAGCCCCGAATGGTTCTCTATAGGAAGATACATTTGGCTCCTCCATTCCCAATGCATATAATTTATGCATTGCATGCCTTATTCTTTCTCATCTAGTCCATTATCAAAACATTTCAAGTTTTTGAAAGCATTTGGATGTTTAGCATCTAAATATGTCCAAAGTTCCTTTCCTCAGTAGTTAATAAATAATTTGTGAAGAATTGCAGATGATGATCACCTGGATCAATGCAGTTTGAAAGTACTATAAGATACCTTATATTAATAGAATATGAATGGTGTTCTGACAGATATTCTTATATGTTGAGAAAGAAAGAGGCAAACTTAAGGCAAACTTAGAGGTGAAATTGCTTATTTATAGGAGTATAAATACTATTAAATAGAACTTAATCTGGTAATAGTATTTTAGATAGGTGATAATAAAGATGAGAAGCATGAGAAATACAAAATTTAAAGAGTATGAAAGCGGGAGAAAATTATAAGATCTCACAAAAAAACTCTTACCATCTTAAATAAAATATAATGAGGTCATCTTCCTGGGAGTAAATCCCAATGATTTTTGAAAAGAATAAGTTTTTTAATAACTTTGCAGATTTGGGGTACATGCAGCTAAACAATGGACAGAGTTTTTTTTTTTAAAAAAAGTTGGAAACAGGATGTCTGAGAAAATGCCCCAATAAATGTGCCTGATATCTGTGATCATTTCCTGGCCTTGTAAACAATCACAACCATGTGTCAAAAATTCAATTAACTATTAGCTCATGCCTATAAAATGGGAATCTTCTCAGAGTGGCAGTTTATACCTGAGCCAGACTAGATAAGGTTCAACGGCATTTTGTGGGGGGAGGGGGGGTTAGACCTTGCTCTCTTGTGCTTACATAGAAATGGCAGACTGATTCTCCACTTGACTCTCTCCATCTGGCTTGGCCAGACTCTGACACCTTGTCACTTAGACCAATAGGCTAAAAAATTTCTAACAATCGCTCAAGTGGGTGAGAATACTATCTATTCTCAAATAACATCTCACACCATCTTCTATATTTAGGATTTTGTAAAGCTCTGTTTTTGCTTTCTCTTTACCTTAATAGCACTTTAAAATAGGGATGAAAATTCAGCATTTCTTTTACATGTTATTTAGTATCTCTGATGGATAGGATCATTGTGTTTCCTTCTTGGGAAGCTGCTTTCCCAGAAAAATTATGTCTCTGGTGGCTACTGTTTTGAGGAATTTAAAAAGCAACATATTGTTTCAATCTTGGGTGCATATTGATGGAGACACTTGTGCAAGACATGTTGGAAGCAGCAGTCCGTCTATTACTACTCTCTTAAGTGAAAATATGATAGGAGGCAGCTTATGTTAACAATTTAGCACCATTATTGGATGGTGACAGTACTCCCAAAGTCTGATCTAAGGGAGTTGTCTCTACAGGAGAAGAATGATTATTGTTTGGGAAAGAAGATGCTGTAATATTGCATAGATCTCAGCAAGCTTTCTGAACCTGGACTTACCTGCCATCAGTAAAAGATACTAAAATACTGGATGCAAAGGATATTACAGAGATTCTCCATGTCCCAGATGGCAGTTGTTTCTCTCCCTTTTTAGAACTCCTCCCTCCCCCGGAAATGGATACAAAGAAAGTGCCATTAACCATTTAAATCCATTCCTTTTTCAGAGAAGGATTTCTAATATTATGTAAGTGTAGAAATTTAAATGTGGAAAATTATCGATCTTTTCCACTAGATGGAAAAGGTGGGAAAGGAAAAAGATAGGTATACTGAGAGACTTGGGCAAGGTAGAGAGTTTGAAAATCATGTTTTATCATTTTCTGAACCATTAGAGACTTAGATCTTCAGAAAAAATGAAGTGAGTCATCACAGAGGGAGGAAGGCCAAAGGTATGGGATCCAGTGTGACAGGAAACAGGCCCAAGGCCTGTAAGGATCCAGCCAGGTGGAAGTTAGGTCCAAGGGCCCAATGAAGCAGGATGGAAAGGAAACAGGCATGTAGGAGCAGCTGCAATGTCCTTGCAATCAGTAGTAAAAACTGGCAGATTACCAAGCCCACAAATTTTGTTCTTGTGACTGTGGAGGCTATGTAGCTGCCATAACTTTGAATATAGATCGTAAACCCCTACATTCAGTGTCCTCTTGGTTATGCTATTGATATATCGACTAGAAATAAGATTTCTCTGTTGTGCTGACCTGTCTCTGGAATATCTTCCTCTATAGATGACTTGTTTTTTATTTGACTTTCTGTTTAAAACTTATGATTATTTTATATTATATGAAGCATTTAGTTTTGGCTCCTGTAGGTACCCAGTATGCATTCATTTTCCTTTACCTAAGTCAATAACTGAAATATTGAACTAGGTTCCTTTTTATTACAGGCCAACTCTTACAGGTGGTTAGAACTGCCAGCGGTACTCAATACCTTATTCAGCCTCAGCAGCAAGTAGTTCTACAGCAGCAGGTTATACCACAAATGCAACCTGGTGGAGTTCAGTCCCCTGTTATTCAACAAGTAAGATTGCTGTTAAATAGACAATTCTAAACTTCTTTTGTATTGAATGTCATAATCCATCTGGATTTTAAAAATTGCTTAATTGCAGTATAGTACTGAATTAGTTTACAGGCTATAATATTGGATCTGATTTCCCCTCCCTCCCCATCCCTTTCCCTATTTTCACATTACCTAGTTGTGTTTGTTTGTACCTAAGTGCCTAAACAAGCTTCTACTTTCAGATGATATAAATATTACTGGTATATGAGAATAAAGATACTTAAGAGCAAAAAAGGGGGAGTATAAAATGTTATGGTACAAGAAAGAGTTTTGGAATATAATGAATATTTTTTGGAAGAGCATGGTAAATTTATTTGATTTCAATGAAATTAAAAAGTAAATTCCTTTCAAAAACCATTGTTCATTAGAAATCCTTTTATGCTGCTGTAAGCATGCAGCTCCAGGTTAGGCAAAAAATATATAGCAAATAATAGGTAAATTATACTAATGCTCTTCTGCAGTACATTTCTAGTCATGACTCAGTCACTAAATATTAATATATTAAGTATTTAAACAGTGTCCTGACTATCTAAGGGTTGGAGATCCCTGCATTACAATGCTTGCCACTGCATTTGGCCCATTTACTGAAATTTCTGGGAAGTTATCTAAGGTAGTCCCATGCCATTGGTAACAGGAATGTGAGTAACCATTACTAATACTCAAGTTCTAGGAATGGGTACAGTGCTACTTTGAGTAAATTCAGATTGCTGTATTTGCTAACAATTTACATTGTCCTGTTGATAGTTCCTCTGGTCCATCCTTTCTAAGTGTATGCAGGTCACTTTAGAATAAAGCAGAGAAATAGTTTCTCTTTGAAGTTATTGCTACAGTTTAGGTCTGAACTTGAGCTTGTTGATGCCTCTTCTTCTGCCAACCTGGTAAAGGTGATAAAGAAGAAAACAAGCAAGATTTGTTATTTAATTACAGTTTTATACAGATCTTGTACTACTATTAAGTCAGTGTAATAAATGTTGAATTCATTATGAATTAGGGTGAACAAATCAATTGTACTGAGGTCTGTAGGCATACAAGTGGAAAGTTAGTGAATAAAGATACTGTATTAGTTGATGGATCACTGTGGGGTAAATTAGTTTTTTATCATACTATATTTAAATACAATGGCATCTTGGTACTCAATTAAATCAAAACTCATTTGGACTATGACCTGGTCTAAAGAGATGGCTGGAAGTCAGTGAGTTGGGAAGGAATGATATGGAGCAGCCTTAACCTAAATCACTCTTGGAGCCTTCTAGAGTAATTTTTCAACAACCAAAATATTCCTGTACTGAACTGTGGCCAATCTGAAACAGGAAGAAGTTTTAGAAAATGATTATTTTTGGGGGGTTTGAAATATGTACAGCCATTCTCATGATATTCTTTTTTTTTTTTAAACCAGGTTTTGGGCCCAATTCCTGGAGGAATCTCGCAACAGACAGGAGTGATTATTCAGCCTCAGCAGATCTTATTTACTGGAAACAAAGCCCAAGTAATACCTACAACAGTGGCTGCACCTACATCAGCGCAAGCACAGATTTCTGCAACTGGTCAGCAACAACCTCAGCAACAAGCAGCACAACCACAGGCACCTTTAATGCTGCAAGTAGATGGAGTGTGTGATACATCATCTGAAGATGAAGCAGAGAAGGAAGAGTATGAGCCAGCACAATCACAGGCACTTTCAGTGCTGCAAGTGGATGGAGCAGGTGATACATCATCTGAAGAAGAGGAGGAGGAAGAGGAAGATTACGATGATGATGAAGAGGAAGACAAAGAAAAGGATGGAGGTGAAGATGGCCAGGTTGAGGAGGTAAATTTTGATAATATTTGTTTTGAGTTGTTTTATGTTATATCTACAGATGCATTTTTAATATGTACATTTTGGCTGAGTGAATACCGTATTTTTCGGAGTATAAACCGCAACTTTTTCCCCCCTAAATGGAAGTGAAAATTTAGGTGCGTCTTTAGATGTAGCCCCACTCACCCACTAGCCCCCACCCATTGGCCTCTGCCTCGCAGCAGTTACCTCCTTGCAAGCAAACAGCAAGAAAAAACAGCTCCTTTCAGCTTCAGCACAGCCTAATTAGCACAAGTTGATTGGATCGGCCTCCCAACTCTTAGCTGATTGGCTCTCAGCTGTTTTGCGTAGGGCTCTGCTATTTGCTGCAAAGAGGTAAATTGCTGGAGCAGATTTTTTTCCCCTTGTGCTAATCAAGCTATGCTGAAAATGAAAGCAAAGCAGGCTATTTGCTGTTTGCTGCAACGAGGCAAAATTGTTCAGAGGCAGACGGAGATTTCTTTTTCTTCTTTTCCTCACCAAAAAAGATAGGTGCGTCTATACTCCGGTGCATCTTATACTCCGAAAAATACGGTAAGTACTTGCTGTTGTGGATCAATCATAAATAATTATCTGACTCAGTTATTTTCTTTTTATGTTATTGAAAGCTACCCCTACAGGTTAGAGAAATACCAGCATGTTTATGGATATTTCAGATTTGCAACAGTTATTTAGAATTTAAGAAGGCAAGTTATTACTATTGAATGATTCAGTGAAGAGTGGTGGTAGAATTAAATGGCTTGCCAGGAAACTGAAAGAGAAAAAGTCCAAATATAACATTTTGGTTCACAACTACAACTGTTGTCTTCTCTAATTGGAGGAGTTAAAAGTTGAAAAGAAAAATCAAAGAACCAAAATTTTTGTACAGGCACCGTGTTTCCCCGCAAATAAGACTGTCATATATTTTTTTGAACCCTGAAACAAGCACTTGGCCTTATTGCCATGCGCTCAAAAGCCCGATTGGGCTTATCATCAGGGGATGTCTTATTTGGGGGGAAACAGGGTAGTCCTCAACTTATAACAGTTCGTTTAGTGACCATTCAAAGTTATAGCAGCACTGAAAAAAGTGAGTTCTGACCATTTTTCACACTTACAAACATTGTAGAATCCCCTTGGTCACAAACAAAATTCAGCCATTTGGCAACTGATATTTATGACAGTTGCAATGTCCTGGGGTTATGTGGTCACCTTTTGCGATCTGACAAGTCAATGGGGAAATGATTCACTTAACAATTGTGACAAGAAAGGTCTAAAATAGGGAAAAATTCACTTAATAAATGTCTCACTTAGCAACAGAAATGTTGGGCTCAATTGTGGTAGTAGGTCTGCCTGTAATTAGAAAAATGCTTACATTACATCTAAAGTGCTGTGCTTGTATTATGAAGCAGCTGTTCTCAATTCTATTGATTTACGAAATTAATCTCTTCTAGGAACCGCTCAATAGTGAAGATGATGTTAGTGATGAAGAAGGACAGGAATTATTTGACACTGAGAATGTTGTAGTGTGCCAGTATGACAAGGTAATATATAAAACCAAATGCCTCTGTCTATTATATGTGTCTGTCTATATAGTGCTTTTAGAAAGTATTCAAACCTCCTTCACTTTTGTCAATTTTGTTGTGCTGCCGCCTGATTCTTCAGTTGCTGAAAATCATTTTTTGTTACTCATTAATCTACATTCAGTACCCCATAATGACAAAGTGAAAACAGAATTTTAGAAATGTCTAAATTTATTAAAAAGAAAAAACTAAAATATCACATTGGCATAAGTATCCAGATCTTTCACTCAATACTTTGTTGAAGCACCTTTGGCAGCAATTACAGCCTCAAGTCTTTTTGGGTATGACACGACAAGTTTTGCACAGCTGGATTGGGGGATTTTCTGCCGTTCTTCCTTGCAAATCTTGTCAAGCTCGATCAGATTGGATGGCGACTGTCGGTGGACAGCCATTATCAGGTCCCTCCAGACATGTTCAATAGGTGCAAGTCTGGCTGAGCCACTCTAGGACATTCTCAGAATTGTTCCTAAGCCACTGTGTGTTGTCTTGGCTGTGTGCTGAGGCTCGTTGTCATGTTGGAAAGTGAACCTTCAGCCCAGTCTGAGGTCCTGAGCGCTGTGGAACAGGTTTTCATTGAGGATATCACTGTACTTTGCACCATTCAGCTTTCCATCAATCCTGAACAGTCTCCCAGTTCCTGCTGCTGAACACCCCCACCCCCACAGCATGATGCTTCCACCACGCTTCCCTCTTCTGATGATAATGGGCAGGTGATGAGTGGTGCCTAGTTTCTTCCAGACATAACATTTAAAACTGGCCAATCTTGTACCTCACAATCTGAGAGTTCTTCAGATGCTTTTTGCAAACGCGAAGCAGGCTTTCATGTGTTTTTCACTGAGGAGACGTTTTGGTCTAGCCACTCCACCATAGCCAGATCTGTGATAGTTGTCCTTCTGGAATTCTATCCTATCTCCACACAGGATCTCTGGACTCGGACAGAGTGACCATCATGTTCTTGGTCACCTTTCCCTAAGGCTCTTCTCTCCCAATTGCTCAGTTTGACTGGGTGACCAGCTCTTAGAAGAATCCTGGTTGTGCCAAATTTCTTCCATTTGAGAATTATGGAGGCCATTGTGCTCTTAGGAAACTTCAATGCAGCAGAAATTTTTATTGTAGCCTTCCTCAGATCTGTGCCTTGCAATAATCATGTCCCTGAGCTCTGCAGACAGTTCCTTTGACCTTATGGCTTTTGCTCTGCTATATAAAGCCTTTGAAGGCTTTGAGGCCTTCTATAGAGAGGTTGTGCCTTTCCAAACCATGTCCAATCAATTTAATTTATCAAGGTGTAGAAGCATATCAGTAACGATCAAGAGAAATGGGAAACACCTGAGCTAAATTTAAAGTGTTGTTGCAACACTTTAAATACTTATGAATACTCTGAATACTTATGCCAATGTGATATTACAATTTTTTCTTTTCAATAAATTTACAGACATTTCTACAATTCTATTTTCATTTTGTCATGGGGTCCTGAGTGATCAATGAGAAAAAAATCAATTTCAACAATTGTAGAATCAGGCTGCAGCATTACAAAATTGACAAAAGTAAAAGGGGTCTGAATTAGTGGTGGGCTGCCCCTGGTTCGTACCGGTTCTATAGAACCGGTAGTAAAACCAGCGGGAGGCTTCACCCACTGACCCTGACGTCATGAAAACGCTTTTGTGCATGTGCAGAAGAGCGCGCGCACGCGGCCCCATTGCAAACCGGTAGTAAAGGTAAGTAGAACCCACCCCTGGTCTGAATACTTTCTGAATGCACTGTATACTTATATTAATATTAGCAAAGTATTTCCTGACAATTAGAATTATTTTAGTAGATAGGTAGATGAATTTATTTGGAAAATATTTAACAATTAAAAAATCCTCAATTGAATGACAACCGTTTAAAAACTTTGGGATCTATCCAGTACAATATAATTCTGTGCACAGTTATGAGAATGTAGGAGAGGACCATCTTAACAGATGTATCCCAGATCTTGCTGCTGCTTTCCAAGGTGCCTGTTCAGGCTCATTAATTTCTGCTTCAGGCGGACTTTAGCATGCTGGATTGGTAATTTGAAAAGGTTTACAAAAATTTTGGATTTCAACTGGATATTATTTAGAAATATTATTTTACTTTTCTATTTTAAAACAGTTTTATTATATTTCTATTTTAATTGTGATTTATTTGACATAGCTATGAAAGATAGAAAGGATTAATATATATATTTATACTTGGATGTATATTAATGTCTTTCTTTAGGAACTTATCTTGGAATATTTATAGTACCTAATTTAAAACAAAGTTTTTAGAGCAAGAAACACAACAGTGCTGCTCTGTTCAGACATACACAAATACAAATCTTTCTATCTATTCACAACATACTGATCATTGAACAAAATGCAAGACCTTTCTTGGTTTTTTTTTATCCCATCTTCCCAGATACATAGAAGTAAGAATAAGTGGAAGTTTCACCTCAAAGATGGAATCATGAATCTTAATGGCAGAGATTATGTATTTTCCAAAGCCATTGGGGATGCAGAATGGTGAATACAGAAAATAAACTCAAAGCTAAGACAAGAAAGGTTGAGACTTGGACAGTACACTTCAACAGAAAAATCTCTGAAGACCCATAAAGAAACAATAGAACTGAGGTTACCAGGACAGAAGAATAGCATGGCAATGTTGACACTACTTCAAATGGGAAAATTGAGGCATTGGTGCAGCTAGCTCTGTCCGACAGCTGGTTTTATATGAATACCTTAACCACTTCTACCTATAGATAAAGGTAACTAGCATGTGATGCTTAATCTCCCCTTCCGCTGATTTGAAGGAACTCTTCTTTTTGGTAACAATACTATGGAAAAGGCTTAGTGTGTTTTTGTGCATAAATTGTGCTGAAACGCTCCCCTGGGGAGTGGGATTGGTGAGAATCTTGCTCAAAATTGTACATGGAGATTTAGCCAATTGGTGAGGACTGAGGTGTTGAGTTCTAATTACTATTGAGTAAACTATTTTTAAATCTTGTGCTGGGCCATGTATAATTTTATTGACAGTTTTAGGCCTTTTATATAAATTTTGATCCTGGTACCAAAAGATCTCATTTGTATTTTAAATTTAATAATGCTGAATATTTTATTTAAAAGGACGTTGTGCTTTAGTCTATGGATGAAAGTGATAAAAATCTCCATCTCCCTTTGCTCTCTTAAGAAAAGATTCTTGAATATTCTTAAAGATTGCGCAATTTAATAACTTGTTTGTTGAATAGCAAATTAATAATCTTTTAAAAATAATTCCACTTGTGAACTTAATGTGTATTTTCGAAGTCCAAGTGAATATGCACTGCAAGTGACAAACGAGAGCAGAAGTTACAGGTGACTATGCACTTTGGAAAGGGATCTAAAGCATTGAAGGAGCTTCCATTTCTCAAATCATAATTGGAGAACTGAATCACATTTATTTTAATAAGTAATAACTTAATGTAATATCAAAGTATTGTTGAAGATAAATTTCTCTGTTGTAGCAATAGTATTTGGGAATCAGGTTTTCAACAATGCAGGCTTTCCTAATGAGGCGAAAGGGCTGAACATCAGCCATATTAAGGGAGCAACACACCTCCAAATTGTTCATTCTTGCAAGATATGTATTACACACATGGTAGCCAACTGTGAAAAGCAGTGAAAAAAGACCAGGGAATGGTAAGTAAAGAAATAGGTGTGTGCTAGTAAGAATGCCATCTTTCTTCAATACTAACATTTCTGTTCTTACAAAAATGAAACATTTTGAATACTAAGCAAAATTGCCAGTGCATTTAATCACCATTCGAGTTTTCTCTTCTGTTCCCAAATTAATTTCTTTGCATTTCAATGTAAATCTATCGGTTATTTCTGCTTGCAGGAAACTCATATTGCAATGGGCAATTTTTCTATCCCATGCTATCTCTAAAACTGGCCAAATATGTTAATTCTGTTGTATAATAGCATTTGTAAGGCATTTGCATTTTTATACTACATAAATGTAATTGAAGGCTTCCATTTTCTGGCCATATTGATTGTTCACTGAACCTGAATTTCTTTTGAGTGCAGTGGAGTTTTGGCTTTGGACTTGTAGATATCTTCAAATAGCTTATTCCCACTGTGTAAAATAAACAGACATACCACTATTATACATATCAACTTTTTGATTACATTGAAATCAATTGCCATTTTCCATTAAACCTTTATGTATCTCGTGGCCACCATATATCCTAGTCCTTTACTCTGGTTTAATATAGATTGAAAAACAATTCAGAAATACAGCACTGTGAAACTCAAAAAAGGCTACAGGTTTCTTTTCATTACTGAAACATATACTGTACAAATGAATTAACATTCTAGACATCATGGACACTGAATAGCTGCTTGTCTCTAGCCTTTTATTTATTTTAAAATAATACCACAGCTTTAAAAGTGACTTATAAATAGGTCTATATGGAAACAGACTTGATGTTTTGCAAATTTATTATGGGTAATCTTTGGTTGGATGAGGGTGTTAATAAAAGGACCTGTGAAATTCTTTTGGAAGCCAGTCATATACCAAACTTGTGCTCTTACTTGCTTCATCAAGTGTTCCTTTTTAAAAATCAAATAGTGTGCTTTTTAAGTTACATTTTATGGGAGCAGCTTCCTGTAGGACTATAGCTTACTTACAAGTATTACCATACTTGAATTTTAATCATGGATTTAACAATATAATTAAGCAGACCATTTTGTTAGATTTTCACTAAAATTATCATTCCTTTGAGGGAGAGGCAGGGCAAATATTCCCATGATTAGTCCTTAAGTATTTATAAACTATTTGCTTTTGTTCTTATTTGGCTTAGAATTGGAAGTAGTTACTATTGGAATAGTTCAGTACCTCTGCTTTTGAAGCAATTAACGGTTTGCAAGAAGGGCTTTATTTTTAGATTTGCACAGAGAACAGGAGCACCTTTTTAACTTTAAAATGTTAAAATAGAGAAAGCAAATACTTTGGTTAGACTAATACGAAGATTTATAGTGTAATTACACAAAGGATGAAAGTCTTGTGCCTTTGCAATCTTCAGATACTCCTGTTTTACTCCATGATTTTAGGACCATGGGTCTCCTTTAGTAAATGATACCCTACAAAGCTTCAATTGTAACCTAATATTTTGAGTCTAATCTTACTGGCTTTCTAGAATGTGCAATCATCTGAAACATCTACATTAAACATTGTCTTTTTAGAAGGTTTTAGATTGTCACAAATAATTTTATATTGGAGTATTTAAATTTAATGTGTAAAATATTTTCCCCCTCTAGTGGCAGTCCAAGTTCTCTTTTACTTGTCTATTATCGCAACTTGTTTTTTGTTCTCAGTCATCTCCACGGAAATGGATCATGAATTTACAAATATTTTGCTACCCTTTTTTCAAGGGAGATTAAAATTGTGATTGAACTACAATTTCTGGGAAAAGCAGAAGATTTGTAGTGATTGTTATAACCAGATTTGCAGAGATACCATTTTAAAAATAGTGTTAATACAACTATGTTTTCATTCTCTGTATACATCAAACAGCAATAATATCCCAATCAAATTACTACTGGATAAACTGTGTAGTTCCATAACAGGAAGAAATTATTATTTGTTCACAATTATTTGCTCTTCTGCTTTAAAAAATCTTTTATTTTGATTTTTTGCAAAAATCAGCAAAAATGGTTTAGAACAGATTTGATTTTAAAGAGTTTCATTGTTTAGAAAATGCTAGAATAGCTTTCCTCCTGAAATGTCCTTCATCTGGAGGACATCCAATGGAAAAACCTGCATTTGAATCTCTTTTATATTGTATAGTCTTAAATTACATAAGAGATTCTAAGAAATCAAGCATTTGGGATCAGCGGGATAACAATTTTGGTTGAGCTATTCTTGATTTGTGTTTTAGGAAGACAAAAGATTTTTTTTAAGTGGAAGAATAATGGCAGGCTAGCTGCATGTGACATCAGATATTCGCTCTTGTGTGCCTAGGGTACCAAAACTTAAGAGTGAGAAATATCCTTAGTTGCTGTTCTGAGCTACTACTGTCAACTGCTGTTGTACATATACTGTTATGTGTAAGGGGGTAAATATATTTATTATGTTTGTAAAATCTGTACAATTAAAGATCTGTACAATTAAAGATCAAGGATGTTCTTCCTAAGATGTACAGGATGTTTCAAAGGCCATGCTTGGAATACAATTAGAAACTTAGTATTTTGATGTACTAAGACCTATTTTAAGTTTAATATTTTGCCTTTGCAAAAAAAATTAAAGATGTTATTTAAAATAAGCTTGCCACTTTATTTACTATTTTGTGTATTAAAATACTTTAATGTGTATATAGCTGTGTTCACTTTATTCTAACTTAATTCCATAAATAGTATGACAAAATTGTTAAACCACGGAATGGCTAATTGGTTAAATGCAGAGAAAAGGAGTACAGATTATTTTTACCAGGTACATACAGAGATGGGATTATATTTTATTGTGGTTAAATAAGTATGGTATTACGGTTAAACAGAGCTTAGGTGCTAATATTACGCCTTTCATAGACCTCTCAATTTTTATGCATAATATTACTTCCATAGGAGCTTGTAGTTTACTCAACTTTTGCTTATTCTAAAATTAATGATTTACTTCTGGGACAAAGTTGAAAGCATTGTTTTTATCTCTTCATTTGAGGGTTAAAATGTAAATCAAGCACAGACCAATAGCCTGATCTTGTTGCCTTGTGCATGCGATTTCCAATGGAATTCAATATCCACATGTAACATGCAGGTTGGATTTCAAAGTTTAATTTCAAACTATTACTGGGATTTTGCATGATTTGAATGTAGAAATCTGATGTGTTTGTGTGGATGTGTATAAACTATGTCAGGAAAAACATACAATTAGGCAGATGTCACAAATGAGGTTTACCTGAGGGCTTTCAAAATTTTCAAAAATTTACCTGCTGTTTCCCCTAGATGGCAGCAAAAAGGCAATGAAAAATACCACAAAGGAAAGTTGCAAGTAAAAGATAACCAACTGTTTGTTAGCTTTATAGTTTCCTCTTTTTCAGCAGTATACATGGAACTCTTTCCAGGGTACCATAAATTTGAAGTCTACTATTCCTTATAATCACAGTTTAAAAGTTTTTACCTAAATTCAGTTCTTGAAGTAATTATTTAAATATTTATGACTTTCAGGCTATAGATTTCAATTTGCTGTTTTATCAAATTTATATAACTGTCCATCTCACCAGAAATGACTGGATGGTGCACAATCTTAATAAGAAAAAGTATTTTCTAGTAGTTCATAATCGTTACTGTAAATATTTTCATTAGTGTAGTCAAACTTGTGACTTGTGCAGTGGTGGGTTGCTATCGGTTTGGCCCGGATCGGGCAAACCGGTAGTGGCGACAGCAGGAGGCTCTGCCCGGACACTTCTGTGTATGCGCAGAAGTGTCGGGCGCATGCGTGCCCACGAGTGAAATGGTAGCGACGGAATTTGAAATCCACTACTGGACTTGTGTGCTTTCCATATTTATAAATTAGTATTCTTCAGACAAGGACTTTTGCAAAAAAGTAACTTCATTATAGAATATCCTTTAATTGCACTTTTTTCTTACTACCAAGAAAGTAAACTGAAATTTTAATTGTATCATTTTTAAGCCTTGTAGTTTTAGTGTCATTTTACTTTTTACTTTAATGATTTTTATGAACTTACATAAATATTTAATGACTCAACAATGACCAAATGATAAAAAAACACTTTTTGTCAAACTGATCAGACATGGTTAATGTAGTCATGTATGCTCAGTTCATTTTTCTTGGCTTACATAAATTTGACATGGCACACAGCAATCTTGGCTAAAATGTGGTTGGCTAGTTTTTGATTCAGTGTCGTGTATGCAGAATCTTTGAATTGGCCAGTTAGTCTTTAAAGACTTAAAGCATCATGTTTTCCACCAGCAAGGCAATTGCCGTCATTGATTGAAGGATAAGAATATTCAGAGTTTACCTTCACAATTTATGGTATGCTAATGATAACAAACATTCTTAGCACCCTACTAAATTTTGCTTAAAGAACCAGCAAGAGAATTTAGGAATCTGGATATATATTTTTTTCATGTCCTGGGCAAACCTTTTTAATAAAAACAAGACAGCGAAACAAATTCCATAAAGAAGCCAGTTGGTTATATTTTGAGTGAAGTTCTAGATAACTATTATGGTTGGCTGCTCAATCAGCCAGATACTTAGAGTGGATTTGATATTTTTATCCACCTATCAAGTGCTTTCTGTTTGTTTGAAAGTATGATGATGATTATTTAGCGTATGGCAATAATGATGATAAATAATTTGCAGTTGTTCACAATTTAACACTGGTGAAAACATAATAAACCCAAGTCCTAATCAAGGACCTAAGAATTATTAAGATAGCACTTACAGAGATATGTAGGCAGCTCCAAGCAAGATGTTTAGTGTACTTAGTGTGTTCAGATCCAATAAATTAAAAATGCTCAAATATTAAGGATCCTTTAAATATTGCTCCAAAGACTCCAGTCATAATTGTTATTGCGGTGGATTTCTTTTTCCATAAGTGTTGAACTTCAATCTGCAAGTCCCAGTATTTTGCAATTTTGGGCGATTACTTTTCCTCAATCCTTGTATGACCCAATATGGCAACATCAGTGAAGATTTACCCTTTTCAATGATTGGTACATCAGACATGCTATGAACAAGATGCCTGTCTATTTGGATCTTAAAAGTCCTATCAGATTTTAATTTAACCCACTTGTTTTGCAAGCCTCAACTTGATATTCCCAGGAATTTTTACTATAGTTGAATCTAAACAGCAAAATTTCCACTGATTTTGGCAACTTGGTCATGATGCTGCTTGTCATCAATTTGTGAAATGTTGCTGTTTGTGGAATTTTTTAATGATATAAATATGTGAAATCACAGCTGCCACATTTAGCTGGTATTGGCCTTCATATGTACTAGTTCTTCCCAAGAACCTGTGATGTCATAATGTATCAGTGTAGTATATTTTTTATCACTTATTATTTTTTATAAATAACTCAAGGTGGCAAACATATCTAATGTGTTCTTCCTCCTGTTTTCCCCACAACAATAACTCTGGGCTGGGCTGAAAGCGATTGAAAGTCAACCAGTTGGCTTTCATGTCTAAGATAGGACTAGAATTCCCGGCTGTCCTGATTTCTAAGTCTCGTGCTGATCCATGCAGGAACTGAAAGATGGAAATTTTGTCAATGCACAGAATTTCTGTTCTTTTATCCCATCTTTGTATTTGGCCAATCCAAAGCTTTGGAATTTACCTATTGCCCCTGCTTCCTACTTTTTTCAATAGTTTGCCAATGTCTAACCTTCCATTTCTGTATTTATTTCCAATAGTACTTGCATAACTGATCTTTTTTCTTTCTTTTGTTTCATTCTATAGATCATGGGTGTCAAACTTGTATCGTCATGGCAGCATCATGTGATGTATCATGACTTTTTTCCCATCGCTAAATGGCGTGGGCGTGGCCAGCGCGTGGCACATCCAGCCCGCAGGCTGCGAGTTTGACAGCCCTGCTATAGATCCTCAAAATAATCAGTTGCTGGCAATTAGTCAAAGGCCACCTCTGATCGTACATATAAATAGATGTGCATTCCCTTTTTTACATGACTGTGGGCATAAGTTATGGTTTTTATAAAAGAGAACTCTTAAATGATATTGTTTCATACACAATGGATTCAGGAATGTGGAATCCCAGGATTCCAAAGATAAAAATTCCAGATTTTTAGGGATGGGTGAGTAGATAATACTTAGATTGAACTGAAACAAACACATAGAAACTATTGCTTCCATTAATATAATATATTAGCATAGTATGCTATGTATTTATCATAATGGAGTTTTTAAAAGAGTTGTATCCCAGCCTTGAAATGTAAGTTGAGTTCTCTTATATGGTAGATACTGTTCATCTTCTTTATTAATGTTTTAAATTATGCTGTTAAAATAAACAGAATTATTAAAACACTTGGACCTTGGTTTGCTTTTGCATTTATTTAATTTTTAAATTGGGCTTTTAAATTTATCTAACATTAAACTTTCATCATAAATTAATTAAAAGCCTCATTTAGTTCATAATATTTCATAATAAAACAAATAGTAACCGCAAATAAGCAATTAAACATACATATTCAGAAATAAGTATATCTACACATAGTAGACTTAAAGAATTAAATTAAAGATAATAAAGATAATAAAATAAATCTTTATTATATTTCTATGGCAGATTCTGTATAAATTATAGTTGCTATAGAGGCAATTCAGAGTCTAGCTAGCATAATGCAACGTACTAGGAAGTCAAGGAGAGCTGTTGTCATTGTGTGCCCTACTTCTCTTTTCTTTGATGGCAATTGTTGCAAGAAGCATACTAATCTAACTAGTCTTTGGTTGAATCCAGGAGGACTCATGGTACATTAAGTGCCCTGAATCTACCTTCCTTAGATAGTATTATACTATCCAGCTTCTAATTTAATACAATAGTCTTAGCTTTCTAGCTGCACCATTTCAGTGTTTTGATGACAGTGGCTGGAACTTAGTTGAAGAAGTCTTTAATGTAAGTGAAACCACTTGATTAGTTACTGTTCCAGGATAATGATCATGGTTCTTCAAGAGTAGGTCCTTCAGATCTTTTGGGGTTTTTTTTTATTTTTTTAAGGAACCTGCATGGTATGTTCACTGAAAATAATGGTATGTTATTGCTATCACATACAGAGATGCCAGTTAGTGGAGAATGTACCCACTTGAATCTGAATGGCACTAAAGCAGATTGACATTGGCTGTCTTTGTTGGGTAGGAATCCCTAAGAAAGCAACATGCAAGAACAACATTTAGTCAGGTGTACAGAAACATTATATCAAATTTCCTATTTGTCACAAAATTCTATTTAAACTTCAAAGAATCTAATACGTAGGTAGTCTGATGGAGGCAAACTGCATGCTATCAGCATAGTATTTATGCATGCAGTTTATAATTTAAATTCCTATTTCATTCCCTTTTTCAAGGATACAAGAAAAGGGATTTATTTTCCCAAGTGAATAATTCTGTTCAGCTGTATGTATACATGTTATTGTTTAATTTTCCTTTAATAATAGAACAATACTTTTGTTCAATTTTGAACAATACAAGAGCCTTGGTGGCGCAGCAGACTAAAGTGCTGTTAAGTAACACCAGCTGCCTGCAATTACTGCAAGTTCAAATCTCACCAGGCTCAAGGTTGACTCAACCTTCCATCCTTTCGAGGTAAGTAAAATGAGGACCCGGTTTGTGGGGGCAATAAGCTGACTTTGTATAAAAAAGAACCGCTTGGGGGGGGCGAAAGCCCTACTAAGGTATATACAAAAGTATGAAGGCTATTGCTTAACGCATTGTAAGCTGCCCTGAGTTTCCGGAGAAGGGTGGCATATAAATCAAATAAATAAATAAATAAATAAATAAATAAATAAATAAATAAATTTTCTTTTTCATTTTATTAAATTTGTATACCGCCCTACTCCCGAAGGACTCAGGGCGGTGAACAGGCACGAAATAAAACACATAAATACAAAAGTTAAGACATGATTAAAACCCAATTAAATATTTTTTGCCTGAGACAATTTAAAACCCCCAATAATTTAAAACGAATTAAAATTTGAGTTTAAAAATTTAGAAGAAGGGGAAAAAATTAGGCCAGGCCGGCCTGCTGGAATAGGAGTGTCTTCAAAGCACGGCGGAAAGTGCGCAGATCCGGGATCCTCCGTATCTCCGGGGGGAGCTCGTTCCAGATAGTAGGTGCCCCCACAGAGAAGGCCCTCCCCCTAGGGGCCGCCAGTCGACATTGTTTGGCTGACGGCACCCAGACCAAAAAAATCATGAACATTAGAAGTTAAAACAACACATGTTTTATCAAAGCATGTCTGCTAGTGACTTTAAATAAACATACCTTAGCTGGTAAGCACAAATAAGATAAATGTATTGTTTAAAATAAATCATTTTCCCCCTCTGGCTTTATTCTTAGTAATTAAAAAAAGAACAAAAATAATGTAGCATTTTTAGGAACCTGTTAGACAACACTTAAATTTATATCATTTTTAAAAAAGAAATGTATGCAGACAAAGCAAGAAAATGTTTTTAAAACATGAATTTAACTAGGGTATATTTCTCCTCCCTAAAAGGGAAGGATTGGAAGGGGATTTGTAATACCATTGCTTTTTATATTCCTGCCACATTATTTCAGGTGCTTATTTATTTCTATTTTAAATATGACATAAGAATTTTTTTTCTTTGGTTGTAGATTTAGGAATGTAATTGCGTTGAATGTTGGGTGGGGATGTCTTTTCATTTTATAGATGCATAAAATTTACAAGCAGTTTATATTTCTTCTTTCATAGTACCGTTGATAAAGGCATCATCTGAAATGCACTACTAAACTAAAGTTTATTCAGGAACACAGCTACAATTATGATAGCAAAGACTGAAGTAACCCAAGATCCTGCTTAAATAGCTGGTCCAATGCTGTTATTGATCCCAAAGCCCTGTTTAATTAAAATGGAAATGGACAGGGCAACCTTTCATCCAGAGCATTACTTCTCAGAGGCTTTAGAATACAGAATCCTTGAAAGGAGGCGTAGCTATGACCTTTTCTTCAACTGCTCTTCGGAATTTGATCGTGGGATTATGGGATTTCCCCCCCCCCTCAATACACAGAAATTGAGCTTGGATGTGAGCCAAAAAAATTGTTCATCATTATTAACTTCCTTATAGCTTGAAAGAGAGGATATTAATTTCATTAACTGGATGTTAATGATATTTCCATTCTTTCCATTCTACTGCTGTTTGGACATTCAAACAGTTGGGTTCTTTTTGCAGTGCAACATATTTGTTTCTTGCCAATTTCATGAGCTAGTTCAATGAATCAATGTACGGTATAACCAAGGTCTTAAATCAAATTCCCAGAATTCTTGCTTCCCACCTCTCAGACACAAATAGAAGGATGAGACATCACATGAATAGAAGCCTCCACTGGACATTGGGGTTCTTTCCACTGTACCTTTTTAAAAAATCCTACCGATGCTTCTGGTTGCATTTAAATGAATTTGTTTTTTGGTGGGACTCTAGGATTCCATGGAACAAAACTTGGAAAATCCTGCCATAGACAATTTACAGTTCCTGTAAGAGAGTGTTGAACTGACACAGCATGCTGCCTCCAGGTAGAAGCTATTGTATAATGTAGGGCATTCTATAGAAAATGATAGACAAACAGTTTACACTGCATGAAAATAAAGTGGCAAGATATTGTTCCATATGCCTTAGTCCTAAATCTGTTTCTTATCTTCACAGCTCTAAGATGTGTGGACCCAGCTAAAGGGGATTCTGGGAATTGAAGTCCACATACCTTAAAGCTGCTGAAGGTGAAAAATACTGTTTTAGGTACAACTAAATGTCTCCACTATGAGCAACATAAGTGGTCTATGTGGAATTTGTTCAATAATTCAGCCTTACTAATTCTTACTGATATACTGTATTAAATTATTATCAACCTGTTTTAATTTTTTGATGCTTTGTGATAATTGGCTGCTAAATGTTACAACAGTGGCTTAAAAACTGAATTTTTTTAAGTCAGCAAACTTGATCTGGTCTGGAGAACATAAAAGAGGAACCCTCTGTTAATTTTGAGTATGAAGGAAAATAGCTAATGTCTTTTGTTAAGAGAATAGAGAGAGAAAGAGAGAAAGTTGCAAAAAAAAGAAGAAAAAATGAAAGAAGACAATGAAACTTTTATACTAAAAGTGCATTTCAATTGAAGTCCGTTAAATGAACAAGGTAGAATTACTATTCTCCAAATAATGTAAAAAGGTACAAAGACAGAAAGATGTCATAATAAGCTAAGAATAATAAGAGCAAGACAACAGTTGATTGTTACATATTTACCATTTTACCAAAAAGGAAAATAATTATGTTTACAATTAAAATGAAGTAGAACTTTCTAAAAATTATCCATATAATTTTATCAGATTGTTCAATGTACCCTTGTTAAGCAGAAATATTAACACAAGGTCAGTTAAGCATTTTTTAAAAAAAAAAATATTTAGAACAAATAGATGTTTCATAGTTAGGCATACTGTTTGATTTAGCTTGAACTTTCTAAGCCTGTTGTGAGTAAAATTGATGTATTTTGTCATTTTAAAAGAGCTCAAGTAAGAATCCATATGATCTCTACTCCATTGTTGAGTGGAGTAAAATTTAGGATATTTTTCTTCCTTCTACAATTACTCTGGGGAACAGAGTGTTTCCTGAGGGATATATTATTGTCCTCCTCCTCCTTGTGGATTTTCTGTAATAAATGCATGGCATTATGCAAACAGACAATTGAACTCGAAAAGTGCTTGGTCTGATCTACTACAACTTGTCTAATATTATTAAACTTACAGTTTTATATAGATGGCTCACAGGTAAGCAGAATGTGTCTTAAAAATTCCTATCAAAAGAAACCATGCCCTTTATAATAGAACAAGGATTTCCAATATCAAAATATTATTTTAAGTAGTGATGTGCTACAATATAGTCAGCTTACTATTTTCCATGGATTCTTGAATATGTAACATCATTGCAGAGTGGTATCCTCCAAGTACCCCATGAGGGTGCCTTTGATGGCTAGAAAGGTTATGGACAACTCCATGGTTGCCCTTATGATGGCCAGAACCACTGCTGTCCTTGGGTGAGACTGTTTGGCCCCTGTAGAGTTGAGCCTGATGTTCACATAACCCAAATTTGCTAAGCAAGATGAAGACATCTCTTCGGAATGCTTTGGTAAAGATAGCATAAAGGAATGGGTTGGCACAAGAATTGAGTGGATAGAACAAGACCAGCAGAATTTTTGAGTTGCTGACTGTTATTAGGGGTCTGTTCATAACAGCAGATAAGGCATAGAATGAGATCGGTGCCATACATAAAAAATCAGTAAAAATTAGCACAGCCATCCTTTTTGCAATGATTGTGTCTTTGTCCCCTGACTTGTATTGGGGATTCCTTACTGTAATATAAATTTTAATATAGCAAGCACAAATGATGATGAAAGCAACAATGTTCAACAGCAAAATAATGATAATGTAAGCTTGATCTACAGGTGTTTCAGTGTCCATGGGAAGGCAGATGCTAACTTTTGCATAACTACTGACTCCAATCAAAGGTAAAAGGGCAAGAAGGAAACATATCAACCAACCAGCCAACATAATAAAAGATGCATGCCAAAGGCGGATTTTTTTATCTAAGCGCATGGCAAATGTAATAGCATACCACCGTTCCAGGGTGATTGTAGTCAAAGTAAAGATTGATAACTCACTAGCAAAGACAGTAAAAAAGCCAGCTGTGCTACAACCGGGCCCAGTTTGCCAATCAATGGCATAGTTATAATACTCTGATCTAGTATAAAGATCCACTGAAGCAATTAAGAGAAGATACAATCCCATACAAAGATCAGCAAAGGCCAAGTTACACATCAAGAACCGTGGAACAGTCATCTTGTAATGGCTAGTGAGTAAGATAAATAGAACAAAAATATTGCCCACAATGGCCAGCAAGTTTACAAACCATACTACTATCCTTAAAAATCTGTACCCCATTACATCTTCGCAGGGGTTGAACTCATCAGGCCCTGGGCTGCAACTAATATCATCGTTACCTGTACAGATAATATAATCATAATGATTGTCAAAAGTCACAATATTCTCTTGGGGGTTCTTGAGTTCTTGACCAAATCCATCTTCTCTATTGTTATGTTCTTCAAAGAAGACATAATAACGGGAATTTCCATGAAGGTCTCTAAATTTGGAATACTCATCATGAACAGCATCAGTGTGATCTGAATAATCTTCTGCATAATCTTGATAAAAAGGAGCCCTGAAGGTACTGGAAGATCTTCTCTTGCGAATGCTGAGATTGTTAGTTTGATTACACAGCAAGAACTCCAAGATTCTAAAGGAGCAATAGAAAGCATGATTAATAAAACATGTAGTTTATCTAAAGCAAGCAAATTAATCAGTGGGGAATATTTATTGTGAGCTAAGGCAACATTATTTGAGAAAAGCGCTACATTCTAGCTTTGGAATAAAGCTACAATTCTAAGGTCTAATTATGATAATGACATTTTGATTAGACAACTATTCCTTTAAGAAAGCTATTACCCATTTAATTATACTTTAGTGTTATTACACTGCATTTGCTTTTACTTCTGTTTATTATAACAAATTGCTATGCTTCCTTTCCTTTATAAAATTCTTTTGTACAGTTTACAGTAAACATCATGCTTCAGAACAAATGCAATCTAATCTTATTAAAATGGAGCAGCCAATTGAGTATAAAAACTGCTTTAAAGAAGTTCAAACAGTATTTAAAGATGATGATAATTTAGTCCACGGTGAAGAGGTGGACTTCATTCGGCGCTTAAATAAACATGAGGTTGACTTTCTATGGAGAGAATTTTAAAGTCTTAAGTGCCATTACAAATGTTCGCTCTCTCATTTGCATCACTTCTGATGTGGAGAAAGGTTGAAGAGGTTTCTGAAAGTACATTTCTATTGTTGGGCAGGTTCATGAGCCAGAATAAAATTCCTTAGATAGTTGGATTCTAACCCATTTAGAATTTAATACCATTTTTAAAACTCACCCCTTAGCTTTCTTCCAATTCTTGAAAGCACAACAGTGGCTTGGGTATGACAGAGCAGCGTAAGTTAGATAAGGAAAAGTTTTTACTGGGGGGAATTTCTTTAGAGTCCAGGTATTTTGAGCCATCAGTTCTTTCAAGTTTTCTAATCCTCTTTCTGGCAGTGAAGTGATACATGTCTGGGAGACATCACTGAAGATATACACAGAGGAAAAATTAAGGACAATTAATAATGTCAGTTTCTCATAAAATGCTTCATGAATCTTTAATTTATATGCCATACAACTGTCAAATGACTTAAAAGAATTAACAACCACAGAACCAAAGCCTACATGGTTTTGTTTATAGATGAACCAGTTTCTTCCTAAGTACCACAAAGAATAATTCACTCCTAGCCTCCTTATACTAGACTGTCTAGACTTAGGATATATTTTTGTGTATGTGTGCAGCCTAACCATGTATGACTTTAGAATGTGACCTAAAGACTTCTTTCCATACCATCAACAAAATGATTAGCATTTTCTCCATGATCCACCATTTTGGCATGACTTTCCTCTGTTGTGTTGCTTGACACCCGCTTTCTCCATCTTTTAGACGGTAATTCACTGGATTTTTATGCTAAGTGGCATCTGACATCCAGTATTATGGTTGTTTTTAACTGGCCAAATATTTTTAAACTTTTGCTTGACTTAATATAGTACATTCATACAGATGAATTTAGAACAGTACATGGCACACAATATGATCAAGTTATTAAGCTCATTTTGTTTTTGCTGAATTTGTCCAGATCTTGAGCTCTTTATTTAGAGCTTACTTTACTACCTAACATAGTAAAGTAGCTCTCAGAAAGCTCATTAAATTCTATTGCAAAGGAGAACAAATGCATGATCTTTCTTCTAATTCATAACAGAATTGTTTCTGTTAGTTCAGTTTCTTCTGGTTCATTGCTTGCTTGTATTTGAGGATAAATATAGTTTTATGACTACGGGAGAAGAAGAGTACCTAATAATACCTAATAAAGATATTTTTACAGATGTGTGCAACCTCTGTTCTGAAAGGGCTGTAATAGGGGGCAGTGGGGAAAGCAAAAAACACATCTGCCCAAAAAGGATGACAGCAAAACACCTTTCTGATTGTTTTCAAGAAAAAAAAAAGCATGGACATTTCATTCTAACAAAGGGGCTATCACTAGGTGGACATCATGAAGTCCTTGGAGCAATTCCTAATTGTGTAATATACATACCACGATAGATTGTAGGTAGATAAACAAACCTGAGCAACAGAAAAGTCAACAAGATAGGACTGGCCAAGCCTTCTAAGATAATAAGTCTACAGTCTGTTGGCCTTGTATCATTTCCTAGTCACCTTACAGCAAGAACAGGACCCCACATGAATACATGAGTAGACAGATCATGTCTTACCATTATAATTATTTAAATAATCAGAACCTAGCAATCATTACCCAATATTTCTTTATGGATAATACTAGAATAAGTCAATATATTCTTCCCCATTACTCACAGTAGGCTTGGACCACTTTGAACACCCAAAAATGCATCTTCATCAATAACTCTTAGATATTTGTTCTTATGCAGGTATCTGCAGAGAAACAGTAACACAAATTTTAGTGCTTAAATCAGAAATTTTAATCGAAGTGAAGTCTTAAATGCAACAATCAAGGGGATTTATAAAAATTAGTAACAGTTAAATATTCAGAACAACTATCAGCTTAAAGTCAGGTAAAGATAAATTAGGTTACAATTTCAAAGGCTAGGAAGTTAACAAGGCAGCAGGGGTGCCTCAGGCTACCAGCCATCCACAAGGGTGTATCATACTTTTAGACCCCATGAAAATTGGCAAAGCCAGGTCTTAACATTCCTCCAGAAAACCAGAAGATAAGAAAAAGCTTATCTACCCTAACTAACCTCCATTTCCACCTCTGTGTTGTCATGGATTGAACAGAAAATCAGAAAGTAGGGCTATTAAATTTGGGCTGCACAAATCTGGATGAAACGACCTAATAATATGTGAAACATCTCTTTTCCAAGCAGGTATCATTCACAACATCACAGTTATTAAATAGGAATTCTTTATAAGATAAAAGAGGCATTGTGTTAGTTGTTAAAAGGCTCTTTATAATTCTGGAATTCATACTTAGTCAATATATAACCTTACATAATCAAAGGGGTGGATATATTCTAATTAGGTATATTTGGTTATAGCCCAGTATTTGCGAATTAAATAAATGACATATGAATATAATGTGCCAGTATGAGCTATTAAAACCAAAGCCCATTCTCACACTAAAAACATCATTGTATCTAAGCTTCAGCATAAAGTAGACAAAATTAGTAATGGAATGGATTTGTTAATCATTTAGAGTATCTAAAGTCAAAAATATTTACCATAAACCTCATTAAATGTGCTAGGTTGTTGGTTAAGGTGCATGTAGAGCTTTCTGTAAATAACTCTTCTATAAATAACAGACTTTGATCCTGCTCTGGAAAAGATGCTCATTTACATGAAGGGGACATCCCTTTGATGACTGGGGATATACCTTGACTTAAAACTAAAATTGAGCCGAGAATTAAGGTCATAAAACATCCCGATTGCTAGTGAGTCATCACACGGCTGGTCTGATTTTATAAAAAAAAATTTGCAGCAGTTATTAAGCAAATACCATGGGTTGTAAAGCAACTGATTTTTAAAAAAGTAAATATTGGTTTTCAAACAAAAAAATGTTGAAAATCACGGTCACCTGATTGCCATAAATGCAAGGCAGTTGCAGAGTGCCCAAAATGCAACCATGTGACCATTTGGGGGAGCCGTCGGGACTTTTGGTGTCTATTGTAAGTTCAAATAGTTGCTATATACTACAGACATATTTGATCCCATATCAGTGAATGAAGATGCAGAGATGAACAGCACCATATAATGGACCTAAATGTTTGAAGCTTTCTCTCTCTTTTTTTTTTTGTATGAAAAAGTTTTCATGGTATGAGTGAATTTAAACCACATTTTCAAATTTCCTGGCTCAAAAAAGAGCCTTGGTAGTACAGTGGTCTAAAGCACCCTGTTATTAAGAACAGCTGCCTGCAATTACTGCAGGTTCGAATCTCGCCAAGGTTCAAGGTTGACTCAGCCTTCCATCCTTTCTAAGGTAGGTAAATTGAGGACCCAGTTTGTGGGGGCAATAAGCTGACTTTGTATAAATATACAAAAGAATGAAGGCTATTGCTTAGCGCATTGTAAGCCGCCCTGAGTCTCCGGAGAAGGGCGGCATATAAATCAAATTTAAAAAAAAATGGTGGCAAAATATGCTAGACTATAAGTGGTAAGACTTTCTGGTTGGATGAGGTCCAAAATTTAAAATGATTTCTCCAACTGCCCATCCATGATTTATATTCTGTCTCTCAATCTAAAAACTGAATTATTAACATTTTAGGGTAAGGATTTTCTTAATTTTGTAGAAAGTAAATGGCATCAAAGATCCATTTATATAAAGAAGAAATGTGGCCTTATAGCACATCGTGATTTCTTGTTTATTTGTCTGGCATCGTTTTCCAAGAGCTAAGGCCAATCAGTCTGAGTGTTTTAGTTAGAAACTTGCATAATACTACGCTGCTGGCAATATATTCAGGTTTGAAGTCATAAGAGTGACCAAGCCCTAAATGTTCTGTTGACAGAGATTATATTTTGTTTCTACAGGTGCCAAAAGAGAACAACCTTGGAAAAAATATTACCTCTTTTTGGGAAACACAAGTAACACAATGTTAGAACGAACAGGGTTGTTTTTTTCCCCAATCAGAGATTGGAAATATATCTGGGGTTCTGCATTTTGTATTAGTTACTTTACAGATAGCATAGTCAGTTTTTCAAACCGAGTACAGTATGGCAATTTTGTTTTTAAAAGTATGGAATACAGTTCCAAAATGCTTAATTCTGAGAGCACATAAAAATACCTGAATAAGAATTACTTTAGTAGAAAATGACGACATAGTATTTTATGCTTCTATCATTGAACAACTAATGTAATTATAAAATTGTTGCAGATTATATATTCTAATAATAGTCATTAAACTGCATGTTCCTTTCTCAGAACAATTTAGGGTTACGTTGTTGTGATTGTTGCCGTTTGAAAACCAGAAGTAAGAAGTTCCTAAAAAGTTGAAAAGCAGCAAAATGGATACATGGCACTGATTAGCTTTCCACCAGAATGGTTTTGAAACATAGCAGTGTTTGTCATCATTTGTACCCATGTACAAATCGTCATTGCTATTCAGATAAGTTACAAATAAAGTATTTGAATTAAATAAAAATGGTAAATGTTCCAAAAGTAGTTCAAAACAATTGTTTAAATTCTAATGGAGTTCAGTGGAACAATCAGAGTACCCATAGAAAAAATAAGGGAAGTAGCACAAATTTCAGCATCTCATGGTATCTTCAAAGGTAACACAGATATCACTGTAAATACTTTTGTGGATCATAACCCACTTCATTAAATGCATGTAATATAGTTCAGTGAAGATTTGGGACAGTAGATATGTTTCCAGTTGATGCAGAAAATTTACACAGCTTGCAATTTTGTAAATTGTTGTTGAGTATATTCTCTTTCATTGAAAATGAGCAAAAGGTTAACACCACTTCAGTCATTCAGAAGGTCAAGCTAAGATTTGGATCCAATAGGGAGACCCCCTCCATCCTCAGCCTTAGGTCTGCCTTCTAGTGAAGAAGGTCTTTTTCCTCTCAGCTCCATCTGGGCCAAGAAATACATTCATTCCCTTTGAACTAACTGAATAAAATAAACTTAATGGGACTGAAAAAGAGATTGGAGTGAATAGCAGATTGGGAGAACACGCAGCAAGGAGAGAGCTGTCTTTCCCAGAAATTTCTCCCTACCCATTTGTTTCAGTGAACGGTCAGAGATCTGCAAGTTCCTTTGTGTAGAATCATAGAGATCCCTAGAAGGTCACTTTGGCTAAATCAGACTGCATGGTGGACAGGAAGCAATGAAAAAGGTGTTGCACAAGTGTGCTCCTTTGTGGAACTGCCTATATTTTCTTTTGGGGAATATTCCAATACTTGTTCTGGGAGGAGATAGTAAAAGAGATATATAATCCAACCTTGGACAGACTGAAGAGTTTGCAGCCTGGTCTTTGGCAACCAGAATGGCAGCCTGTTATGATCTACGCTTAGACACTGGAAAGCTGATTGTTAGTCCATAATTAATCTAGCATCCAAGCTTTGGGGGAGGCAGAACTTGTTTTGGAAATCTTCTGATACAATGCTAGTGGACAGTAAAAATAAAATTAAGCGCTTATCATCAACAATAGAGAGCATCTAGTATGACATCATATAATTGGCTTTCTTTTGGGTTAAAGAACAACCTTCCTCAAGGAAGTCAAGGAAGTCGAAGCTGGGGGTTTCTGGAAAGGGAAGAAGCAAGTCCAAGTCCTAGGATAAAACAACCCCTTACTGACATCACAATTTCTCAGGTTGCCAGATTATGTCAAAGATTTTGGAACACCTGGGAATGGACTTGCAAGAACAGGTGGGTGCTGGAAATAGATACGGTCTGAAATGCTTTTTGTGACCGTTTAGTGTGCATTAGTACAATAAATGTTTGATTTTTTAAAAAATTATTAATTTATTTAATTTATTCAAAATAAAAACTAACCACTTTTTAAACTTTTCTAACAAATGCTTGTTAACAATTTGTGCCTGAAAATTTGTGCCTGTTAACAATTTGTGCCTGAAAAAAATGCAGAAGGTGATTATGTCCAACATTCTCTGAGAATGTTATTTTTATCTTCTGCGAAGAATAATAGAGGAATACATCTTTTTCATAGATCTGAAAGACATTATTAATTTTACATTATATAAGGGAACATTATATGGTATTCCTGTTACTAGGCTAAATTAAATGAATCATCTGCTTCTAAAAAAAGTGAAGGTGCAGTACTGATTGGACAGACGTAACTCTTTCAATTGTACATGGAGAATTTGATCAATAGCAGAGACCGAAATGTTTTACCAAACATGTACAGGAACAGTATATGAAATATCTTCTTGCCTTGAAAGCATTGGTAGGAACAAGCATTGGTGGTCACAAAATTTACATCAGCAACTTCTTGAAAATGGAATTCATATGCTTTTTAAACATCTCTGTTTCTTTGATTACTTTCAAGTAAAGTGAAGAAGTTATATTTCACCCACTTAAATTCACCCTCCAAAAATTTAGCAGTTTGCTGCCATGAAGTTCTTGCTTAACAATCACAACTGGGACCGGCAACTCTGTAGCTAAGTGATGAGGTTGTTAAAAAAAAAAAACCATCATATGATTGTGATTGTGATTTTACTGCCAGCTTCTTTATTGCCGCTCCTTATAGAAAGTTGGCTGTGAAGTGCACAAATGGTGGTCATAGGTCCGAAGGATGATGCAATGGTTGTAAATGCCTTCTAGTTGTGAAATGCCTGAGTTTTCATCACTCGCCTGTGGAGATGCTGTAACAGTTGTAAGTGTGAGGACCAATCATAAAGTTACTTTTTCAGTTTCATTATAACTTTGAATGATCACTAAACAGGGCATTGTTAAGTGAGTACAATCACGTGGTTCAGAGAATGAGAATTCAGCAACTCCCCAGTTATGAAACTTTAATGATATCCTTGTCACACTTAACATACAGAATTAACACAGACTTCTCTTTCAGAACTTTTAAAGTTTATGGTTAGAAACTATTTGCGAGTATTTATTTTTGAGCTGTTAAAATACAATACAAGGGCTATGATATATTAAATTATTTACTTACACAGAATCTAACTTAGTTCCATTAAATGCATGGGTTTCTACCACCGTGAAACCATTATTGTAGAGTTTCCTGTTAATAAAAAAATGCATTATCAGTATGTTTTTATACACATTTTGTCCAAAATTATTTTAAATTCAAAATGATAAAATCCAATCAATACTCAGCACTATCTTCTATGATTATATGCACATGAATGTCTGATGTATCCCTCTGTTCTGAAATCCAAAATAAAATAAAATATAAAGTAAAATAACTATGTTGTAAGAACTACCATGAGATGGTCAAGATCACGTCCACTGCTATTCAATGTATCTCCTTAAGTTTTCAGAATGACCAGGATACCATCAACTTTAAATCACAGCAATGATATCCTTTGCTATTAACAACCATACCTTGTTATCGTTTGCTGCTGCTACTGCTATTACAAAGGATCTGTATATAATTTCAAAAAGTACAATAAATACTTGATTTAGCAAAGGGTGGGGACGGCAGTTTAATTTAAACCCAAAAGTCTATCAAAATATGAGTAGAAATTTTTAAGATTAAAACTACACTGGGACATGACAGAATTTACTTTCCTGTAATAATATTAATTACAGTAAAGCCCCAGAGATTTAGAATGATGTATTGATTGATGTGTTGAACTAAAGTTGACAGACCCAAGTTCTAATGTATCCTAAACCACAGAAAGTCATTGAGCAATCTGAGGTTGTTTTTAGCCCAATATATCTCACAGGGTTGCTGTTGTTGGGGCAGATAGGAAGATGGAAGAAACACTGTACTGCCAATGGAAATGATTAATACAATAAAAGTACTTAAGGACTTAAGTTCTATATCTATGAAATGATATTGTGAACCTGAACATAGTATAAATATACCTACACTACCCATCAACCACAGACACACAGACACACACACACTGCCAGGAAGCAGCAAAAGCATTATTATTTTTTTACAAAACATCCCACAGAAGCATTATGGGAAATTAAATAGTACTCACTAACATGGCAGTCTAGGTAAATAGGAAAGCATACTGCTTAAAAAGTTTAAAATCATAGGCATATGGAAACCTGAATGCTTATATTAGCTCAGGGGTGGGTTCTAATTTTTTTTACTACTGGTTCTGTGGGTGTAGCTTATTTTGTGGGCATGGCTTGGAGGTCATGTGACTCGGTGGGCATGGCTAGCTGGTCATGTGACCTGGTGACCATGGCTATGTGTATAGGGACTACTCAGAGGGCTGAAAAAAGTCATTTCTGACAGGTCCTCACACTTTTGACTGGTCCTCACACTTATGACTGGTTGTCATTTATGCCTATTGTAGCATTCTTAACAACCGTGTCACTCATTTCACAACTGCTTCTCTTCACCATGGTGACAAGATAGGGTGAAAAACGTAAAATGTGAGGACAGTCGTAAGTTTGAGGACTGGTCAAAAGTGTGAGGACCAGTCAAAAATAACTTTTTCAGCCCTCTGAGTAGTCCATATGCACAAAAAGATTCAATTATTTCTTCAAAGTGCTGATGATTGCACCCTGGCTGGAAGAACTCCAACAGGGGAATATTTCCTCCCAACAGCGATGTAAAAAGCTTAAAACAACCCTTCCCCTTTAAGAAAGTCAAGCAAAAAAAATAGTCTCCAGAACTGGAAGTGACAGTAAGTCTAGGCATACTGCTGGAGAGGCAGTTTCTGTAATAAAGATTAGGCTAAGAAACAACATCAAATGTAATTAATCCTTACAGGATTAACTCTGTAAAGTGGGAAAAAACAAAAGATTTCTTTTAACAACCGGTTCTCCAAACTGCTTAACTACTTAACTATTCAACAACCGGTTCTACCAAAGTAGAATCCCACCACTGGGTCTACCCATTTATTTTTGCAGGCACCGGTCTACTCATTTGTTTTCTTTTAACACTGATCACTGATACATTAGCAGTTAATTATCTTCTTAATAAGGGACGTGGTGGCTTAGTGGCTAAGGCCCTGAGCTTGTCGATTGAAAGGTTGGCAGGTCAGCGGTTCAAAACACTAGTGCTGCGCAATGGGGTGAGCTCCCGTTACTTGTCCCAGCTTCTGCCAACCTAGCAGTTTGAAAACACATAAAAAATGCAAGTAGAAAAATAGGGACCAGCTTTGGTGAGAAGATAACAGCATTCTGTGCACCTTTGGCATTTAGTCATGCCAACCACATGACCACGGAGATGTTTTCAGACAGCATTGTCTCTTTGGCTTTGAAGCGGAGATGAGCACTGCCCTCTATAGTCTGGAACGACCAGCACATATATGTGAGGGGAACCTTTACTTTTACCTTATCTTCTTAATAGTAAGGTAGGTAATTGAGAAACAGAGCTTAATCGAATAGTCTAGCTCTGCCCCCATAATGATAAGTATCTCTCTTAGTCCAGGAGAAAATGACACAGGAAATCTCCAGATATTGATGAATTATCTTTTCTATATCTCTATAACCAAGAAAGATGCTTATAAATGCTTATTATAAATAAGCATCTTTCTTTGTTATTTCAGCTGGGAATATTGAGAGTTGTGGTTCCAGAATGTTTGAAATAATAAGCACATTGTACAGTGCAGATAGTAACTAAGGTTCATCCTTTATTCAACTATGTTAGAGCTTTATCTAAGTGCACACCAATAAATCTAGAAAATGATCCAGCATTGAGGAGTGAACAGTGGAAAAGTCAAAACACAAGACCCAGACAGACAGATTCCTTTCATGCTAGACACAAGAAGCTGTTATAATGAAGAAAACGGTCAAACAATTGGCAACTCCAAATCTCAACCAACAAATGCTCTGTCTTACACATTGGCAAAAAAAATCAGAACACAAAATACAAGCTGGGTAGATACGACCTCGTAGACTACCCTCACTCTGTCAAGGACCTTGGAGTACTCATCTCTAATGATCTAAGTGCCAGAGCTAACTGTAATGGCATTGCCAAAAAGGCATTAAGAGTTGTTAACCTAATCTTGTGAAGCTTCTTCTCCGGTAATATTGTACTGGAAACTGGGGCATACAAAACCTTTGCTAGACCAATTCTCGAATACAGATCATCTGTCTGGAGCCCACACTGCATATCGGACATTAATACAATTGAGAGAGTCCAGAGATATTTCACAAGAAGAGTCCTCCACTCCTCTGCTCACAACAGAATACCTTATGCCACCAGACTTGAAATTTAGACTTAGACAACTTAGAACTACGCCACCTTTGAACTGACCTAAGCGTAGTACAAAAAATTATCTGCTACAACATCCTACCTGTCAATGACTACTTCAGCTTCAACCGCAATAATACACGAGCACATAATAGATACAAACTTAAGGTAAACCACTCCAAACTTGATTGCAGAAAATACGACTTCAGCAACAGTGGTCAATGCCTGGAATGCACCACCTGACTCTGTGGTTTCATCCCCAAACTCCCATAACTTTAACCTAAGATTGTCTACTGTTGACCTCACCCCATTCCTAAGAGGTCTGTAAGGGGTGTGCATAAGCACTTACTCTCCCTGTCCTATTGTTCCCATTTATTCGTATCCATTTCCTGTGTTCATAATCATGTTTATATTTAATATCTGCTATCTTATACATGCTTGACAAATAAAATAAATAAATAAAAAATCAACTATTATAGTATCCAGTAATCCAAGCCACTATCTATATTAGCAAAGTAAAATGCGCTGTATATCCTGAGGCTATTTCTCCTCCCCCACAAATAGAACAGTCCATCTGGATTCTTTCTAAGAATATACAATAGATAAACCAAGGCAAATTTCTCTAGCTTAGAATAAATGTTTTTCTGAAGTTGTAGAACTGCTGTTCAGTGGGGATAGAAAGAATCAGCAAATCACTGAAATAAACCATTAAATGTTACCCAACAGCATAATAAAATTATGATTAATAAATCTTCTCAAACTCCGAGGACTTCCTGACAATCCAAATTTCAATAATGGATAACAAAGTCTGTTAAATATTCATGACCCTTTGTCTCCTGTGAAATTTCACTTAGTTAAATTGTGTGTTTCCTGCAGTTGTTCTAAACATTGGGAGATGAGGAAGAAAATGATTATAGCATTCAGGAGCTTGTAATCATAAGCCATTCTGTTTTTTTGATAGAGAAAACAGGAATCTTGGCAGAGAAGGCTGAAGGAAGGGTGAATGAAACTTTTTTTCTAAGTTATCAGTGATAAAAACTCCTGGCCTTTTTGTAACAGAGATTTATATAAAGTTGCCCCTGGCGACAGAATCTACTATAGTCTACAGATGTATTCCAGGGCCAGGCTGGCTTGGATGACTTAATGCCAACGCATAGTATTGCATCTCTGAGCTCCGCTTCATTTCTGGTTCAGATCTTACCACTTCAGAATAGATGAAAAAAATGATGCAAAACAAAACAAAACAGACAAAAATGGTTTTAGGGCAGAATAACATACAGTATAAGGGAATCATTACATAATCCCTGGAATGCATTTGAAGGCAGTGAATTCAGGTATGGATTATCAGCAATTTCACTGTGGAAAAAAAGACAAAAAACATTTAGGATTGTAATAAAATTGTAAAAATGTATTACTGTAACTCATGTGTATTTATTTTCTTATAGTTCTACTGTTTGCCATCATATAATCACTTTTGTTGTTGTCTTTGGGATTCAGAAGTGTTATTTGGGATGAACAAAATCTTTGCATTACTTTATGTTTCCATAGAGAAGATTAAAATAGACAAAAGGGTTTTGTTTTCAATAACAGCATCACATTTCATAGTGTATATTTTGACCTCCTTCATTGGAGGATTCCCAGATCATAAAAGTTACAGCTGTATTGTTACTTTATGAGAGATTTTAATAGATTAAGGCATTACATCTGTTTCTGATAGTTTTTATATTATTAAAATATAATTTGTCTATCTTGAGAACTTGTGATGAAATATTTTTTATAACTGTTTGTTTTTATTAATTAATAGAATTACTATTTCGTGAGACAAAGAAACCAATATCCATTCCTCCACTTCACACACAGTCTCCACCTTTAAATATACTAATACCATTGACTTCTCTGCAGTCCTGATACATACTTACAGCAAAAAGTTCATATTTACTGAGTTAATTTTGGTGAGATCAGGAAAAACACCAAGTCCAGTATTCAAGATCACACTAAAATAAATAAATACATAAATACATAAATACATACATACATACATACATACATACATACATACATACATACATAGTAAATCAAGAACAACAGGTAGCAGGGTTGACTCAGTAATGTGCTTAATACAGAAAACAATTCATTTATTGCACTATAGCCTCAGCACTCTTTGTATTACCGTAATAGCTCCCACAAAAACTACAGAAAATAAAGCTAAAGATGTAAAGCTAAAAATTTTCTGAGAACTTTAGAAGAACCTAAATGTGTATTTCATAAAATAGGAAAGTATCTTGGATCAAAATGAATTTTAACTCAAGCCTACTGTAGTAAATGTTATATATTCTTAATTTTTGTAACTGTTGCATGATAGTATTGAGCATTTAATGACTCATTTCATTTTAAAATTTACTAATTGGTTAGCATAAAAGTAACTGAGTGAAGATTATGTTAATAAAATTAATTATTTGGATGGCTTTCTCTAGGAAATTACATTATATGGATTTTATGCAATAGAATTTAATTCTCCAGTGCATTGATGATATACATAGTCACACTGAATTAGACATTTATAGAGAACATGAACCTCTGCTTAATTTAGAATTCAAGATTGAATTTGTCTTTTCCAAGTGAACCTTTAATTTTCTTAATCAAAATATTGCATCCCATTTTTATTCCCTGCACTATATAAATATATTTTAATAGTAATAGGTTTTGTCCTTGCAGAGGCTGAAGCTGACTCTTTGGTCCTTATTATTTCAAGATAATCCTTCATAATCATATATTGTTTAATTCAATTATTTGTGGTCTGTTCTTCCATCTAAGGTGATTATTCTGATAATTTTGCTGGGACATAGTAATCAACATTATATGAGAATACTGTAAAATGTTGGTGATTGTTTGGAAAATAAGTAATTAAGTAATTCTTAATTTCTTCACTGCATAGTGCTTGTAATTTGATTTTTAAATTATGATTTATTATTTCATTTTTTAAAAAATTGTATCATTGATTTCCAAGATCCAAAACATAAAACCAAAGCGCTCTCTCTCTGTCTCCACTCTCTTCTTTTTCTCTGGCTCTAAACAATTAAAATAAATTATTAACACCTGCTTAAAATGAATCACTGGAGGTTGGATTGTGTACAAATTATTTAGAACAGGTTTGTGTCAAATACGGTATTTTAAGCCATTTATCTTGCTGCTTGAAGTCCTATTGTTCATTCATCAACAAGTTATGGGGTCTTTTTTTCTGACAAGTCAGAAAAGCTACTAAGAAGCAATTGTATCAACTGACCTAGTAAGTTAGCCCCCCACCCCTGACCCCCATATTAACAGAATCACTAGTAGGACCTATCACAAATTCTTCCATGATTTTTCGGAAACCAACTGGATCCTGTAGTCCAGGGGTGTCAAAATTGTGGCGTCACATTGTTGTCACGTAACATATCGTGACTTTTTGCCCCTTCGGTAAACTGGGGGTGGGCGTGGCCAGTGTGTGACGCATCCGGCCCATGGGCCATGAGTTTGACAACCCTGCTGTAGTCTTTTTGGATTAAACAATATGTTCTAATGTTTTAATTTTCCCACAGAAGTAAAATATAGACACTAATTTAAAGTAAAATAGATGGCACTCCTTTCATGAGAATGGAGAAATCAGAAACATACCAATCCATGGAACATCTTGGTCAAAATGAAAGATTAAATTTGTCTTGTCTGCCTTAAGTGTAACTAATGAGAATAGACCAGTGGCTTTCATGGTGCTACATTTTCTGTATTGCTTAAACCAGCGCCAATGTGGATATTGAAATTATTTAGCAGCCTGAGTCAGGGATTCTGTAACACCAGCTAAAAGACCACCTGTCCAGTCAGTTTCCACTGATATTCACTAGTGATGTACAGTATTTGGAAAGGTATTGCTTTTTGCATTCTGCTTGTTAGTGGTTCCTTAAAGAAGTCATATTTTCTCTTGATAATGAAGTCTATGCAAATTAAGATGCCCAAACTAGAAAATACTTTGCAAGGCAATACAAGTAGTCCTTGACTTATAACAGTTCGTTTAGTGACCATTTGAAGTTACAACGGCATTGAAAAAAAGTGACTTATGACTGTTTTTCACTCCTATGACCACTGCAGTATCCCCATGGTCATGTGACCAAAATTCAGCCACTTGGCAACTGACTCATATTTATGAGGGTTGCAGTGTCCTGGGCTCATGTGATCACCTCTTGTGACCTTCTGACAAGCAAAGTCAATGGGGAAGCCAGATTCAGTTAACGACTTTGTCACTAACTTAACAACTATAGTGATTCACTTAACAATTGTAGCAAGAAAGGTAAAATGGGACAAAATATCTCACTTAGCAACATAAATTTTGGAACAATTATGGTCATAAATCGAGGATTACTTGGATATTGTTGCCTATATTTTAGCAACTAGAAGGTACATGTAGTATATTGACATACACTTAGGATGCACCTGAACAATGATTTCTCGGAATTTTGTTTAAAATACTTACAGATATTTCAGCATTGGGAGGTTCATAAAGGCTTGATTATCTATGTATCTCAGATTTTTAGCATTTCGAATGTCTCTGTTGAGAACATAAACACATTTCCAGAAAAAGTATTAATGTTTATAATCTTGTTTATTTGTAAATTAAACATATATGCAAAAATATAACAATAGATATAAATGCACCTTCCAAATGGACAACTATTTAAAATCACAACTGCCAAAACATCTCAGGGAGACATTTACCCAAGCAAGATTCGAATAGCTTGATACAACGGTTAGATTTGGGAAATTCCATTCTATTCCATACAATGAACATACATGTATCTTGGAGCTGAACTGGTAGATCTGACTCCTATATTATTGAATTGCTGTTTGTATAAGTGGGCGAGAAATAAGTACCTTGATCCACATATTAAACGTATGGCCCAGAGGGGCCCATATTAAAACAACATACATCATGTTGTTGATGTAATCTGAAAACGACATTTAATATAACACAATTTCTGACTAAAATGGTCTGACTGAGATTGGCATATGTGGGCCTGATAGGGATAGATTGCAGGGGTGATACAGAAATATAATTTTACGTCATTTTATTCTATTTTTGTAAATTAAACATATATGCAAAAATATAACAATAGATTCTTCAAAACATAATCTTACAGAATTTATGGCTTCTTAGTGAATGTATAAAGTAAAGCAGAAGGGCATAAGAAAATTACAGAATACTTAAGAGGAGAGGGGAGGGGAGGGGAGGGGAGAGAAGAGATTACAATTTATGATTTGGAAAGATTTCTTTTAATCTACTTACATGTGAGTGACTTTGTTTAAATTGTTGAAAGAATAAGCCTCCAATACCTGCAGCACTATATCTATGCTGATATAGCTACACAGAAGGAAGAGAGAGAAATAAAATTCAGACGTCAAGACAGATGACAAGCCAAGAGAAGAATTCATTATATGAACAAAGTGACCAAGCCATCCTTGGAAACACAAGCCAAAGACTTCCCCGCCCCTCACAAAAAAGGAATATTCCCTTTAGATCTATGCACTGGAACCTTAAGGGTTAAAAAGCTGACATAGATCCCATATAAATATTGCTCTAAAAACAATGTTCCCCCCCCACTTTCAATGTGAAATACCTTTTTCATTCTTACTGGAAGAATAGAAGTGGTGTACATGGCTGTGGAGGCAAAATCAATACACTAGACACTAAAAAGGATGGTAGAGGACAGGAAAGCCTGAGGAATGTTGTCCATGGGGTTGCGATGGGTCGGACACAACTTCACAACTAACAACAACAAAGGTACTAAAGAATCAGCCATATGTGATAATTTAAGGGGCGGGGGACAGTGTCCCTCTTCCTCTCTTGAAGGACACCTCAAGGGTTGAAGGGATAGGGAAAAAGGACCTATAGGAAACAAGGTTCAGAAAAATCAGATTTTCAGTCTAAATCTGAAAATGTAGAAATATGAGCCTGAATGAGCCACAAGACTTTCACAGAATGGACACCAATGACCATGAATGCCTTTTGCCATTCGGTTACTGACAAATGGATTCAGTAGAGAAAATCAGAAGAGATGCAAACTCTGAATCTTTTCTTAAAGGCTGGGATATATAAATTTAGAGGAATTAGGTTTTGGGGTATTTTTTTAGGATTTTAAAGCCAATAAACAGCATACTATAGTATATGCAGAAGTAACCAATGCAGTTACCTTACCAGGAGTGTCAAACTCGACCCCATTGTGGGCCGTATCAGGATTTTGTTTTTCCTTGGGGGGCTGGGGTGAGCGTGGCCTGGTCATCACGGATGACTGGGTGGGCATGGCCAGGGTGGCATAGGCCAGTCCTTCGCCATTTCCGGGATGGCCCTGCAGGACAACTCTAGGCCTATCAATGGCCGGATCTGGCCCGCGGACCACATCTTTCATACATCTGCCTTATAACTTCTATTTTTTAACAGTTGAAGGAAAGCTCAATGTAGAATGCATCACAACAGTCTACAAATGCTGAAAATGTATTTCATTTTTAGCTGGTATTTTTCAAAACAAGATATTTGGTAAGAGAATATAAGGAGGGAAACGACTCTACTTGAAGGCTTTGAAGCAGCTTTGCCTAAAATAAATTCAATAAAAGTTGAAAGAGATTCTCCTTTATATTCTTCCAGAGCTGCAGCCCAACCTCATAAATATTTGAACAGGGACAGGGTCTGTCTGTGTTTGCATTGTGCTTATCTAGTTCTTACAGCAAAGCTGCAAGAGTGCATGATGCTACAAGTGTTTGTTTATCAGCCAGCTTGTTGTAGAGTCTGACGCTGATTAGAGTTGCAAGGAAGTTATTGGCTCAAAATCACCCACTGGTTTTGGTGCCTAAGGGAAGACTAGGTCTCTGGGTCTCTCTGCTGTTTATCCAGAACTTTAACTACTAGATCATACTATCTGTCTGTTTCTATCTTTCTATTTAGATGTTTAAGTGTTTCCACTCTACAAAGGTAATCCTCAAAGGAGAGGCAATCAGTATTACTAATAAACATGAAACTGTAACACGGTAATACCTCATAATTATCATAGCAATTACCTATATAGATATGTATTCCTAAACCAGAAAACACTATAATCACTGCAACCTGGGTATTTGGATACATCCCTGAGCTCTTTCCTTCCCCAAAACTTTCTACTGAAAACAACTAACATGTTTGATTGAGACCTAACTTATATACCTTCAGACTTGCAAGATTGTTGTCAGCACTCCCAAGTAAACCAGCACAGCTGAAATTATTTGACCAAATATATTCTACAAATATATTGACATGCTCAGACAATGGCTTAGGATATGAGACAAGATAATTCATTTTTCTATCACTTCATCAAGTTCGTGCAATCCTTGCTGGGGGCTCTCTCTCTCTTCTCTCTTCTCTCTTCTCTCTCCTCTCTCTCCCTCCCCCCCCTCTGTCTCTTTCCCTCCCCCTCCCTCCCTCCCTCCCTCTTTCTCTCTCTTTGTGCATTTGTATGTGCCTTTGAATCAGTACTGACTCCTGGCAACCATCTGAGATAGTTCCTGCAGTTTTATTTCCAAGATTTTTGAAGTGCATTTACCATTGCCTGGTTCCTAGTGCTAAGATGGAAATCTAAAATGGAAATCTTATAACTCACAATCTCTCCATTTCTTGACTGGTGCCTTAACTAGTACAGCAAACTAGCTGTCAATTCTTTCTTTTTAGCCTGCAGAATTATGCAACATTAAACAAGGAAGAGAGCAAATATTGCTTATTTTAAGAAAATAATGTGGGTAAAAACTTACATCCTGGAGATGTTGGGTAATGTGGAGAATGCTTCACTAGGAATTCTTTTCAGATATGTATCCATAAACCTCCTGTAGGAACAAAGCTTAAAAAATTAATATATTTTCAAGATTATTATGCTGTTCAAATTCTTTACAGTAATGATTTTTAAATCAGAATGGAAATAATAGCAGTGGAAAACCTGGATTACATGACAGATGGGCAGTTCATTAAGTTTGCTTCCTAACAAATTTAAATTATTTTCATCAAACTTTATATGAGCATTGAATACTCAAGTAGAAATAGACTTTTCCTGGGGGATCATAAAATGAATGATAATACAAGCATAGCAACATTAACATTTTGCTATCGTTGGTCTGTCAGTGAAATGCTCAATCACTGACCTTGAAGAAAGAGGAGATACTGATAAATTTCTACCTTGATATCAGATTGACATAACTGAATAAAAAATAGAATTTTGAAAAAAAAATAATAAAGAATAATACACATTTTATATTATCAATTTTTAAGGTAAGAGCATGTTCCTTTTTCTTCAATATTACAGTATCTGTAAAAATGATTTTGCAACATCTGAATACCAAAATAGGCAGAATTTTATGCCAACTGTAAGACTTTTACAAAATTTCACTTCAGACATTGATGAAACATTGTATACAAATTCCTACATCTAATTTATTTATTAGTTCAATTTATATGCCCCCTTTCTCCAGAGACTCAGGGCGGTAATTAAGATTTACAGCTGATATTGCATATTATTGAATGGGTTGTTTCAATATTTTATTTTTTTTCTTTTAAAAATAAAGAATCATAAGCATTGATCGCACTGGACAAGATTATTTTTCAAAAGTTTCATTTTCTGAAAACTCAGTGATTATGATAGACCCCTTGAAACTTGAGAATAATTATAAATTGAGAATGACTATATCACGCAGGAATCTTGAAAAACATGAATTAACTTTTAATAACTATAATGTATTTAATCACATTATGTTTCTGACACACTGCATGAGTTCAGGAGTGCTAAAAGTGTTTTGCTGCTGATTTCCATTTGAACTCGGTGTATGATGCATCTCATTGCAGTATCCAACAATAGTCAGCCAGCATTGATGGATTCCAATTGCTCTGATATATTTTTCCAATGTGGGAATGTCCTTTTACCACATTCGTCATTGACTGCACTGAAATTTTGGGAAAAGAAATCCAAGTATGGATGCAAAAATGAATCTTCAATGACATGTTGCACTTCATGGTCTTGTGCTATAGGAAGTTTGTCAACCAGTTGTGTGTAGTTTGCTGCTCTGTGGTTGCCAAGAAAATTCTCAACAACATCTTTGGATATTTTTTAGGTGATATCTCTGGCCCCACTAACAGTCCTACAGCTGTTTGTCATTGATGATGTATCTAATCTGTGGACCATACAAAAATACCTTCCTTACTCTTGGCATCAGCTATTTTTGGAAATATCTGTCTCAAGTAACGAAAACCTTCACCTTCCTTGTTCATCGCTTTCACAATTGATTTTTCATCAATCCAAGTTTTATGTGAAGTGGATGCAAAATATCTTTCTTGGTCCTCAAGTGATTCAATATGCCCTGAGTGCATGACTGGGCTATACAAAGCATACATATAAGAAGCACTTTCAAAAACAGATTTCCATAAAACAATACATGATGGATTAAATTATAGGTTATTTTCCTGATAGGCAGGAAAAAACTTTGTAAAATAAATCCAAAAGTGTTCAGGAAGCAAATTTTTGCTATCTAGTGTTATTATGCATTACAGTATAAACTTTCAGAAAGGGTGACTTTTGGTGGTATACTATTTGTTGCAATCCTTCCTCAAGTTTTCCTTTATATGAGGATTGATGCAAAAATTCCTAAATTTAAATATTTCCCCATCAGTATTTTAATCTAAATCAGGGATGTCAAACTAAATTTCATTGAGGGCCACATCAGGGATGTGGATGACCTCGAGGGGCATGGTGGGCGTGACTGGCTGGACGGGTATGGCCAACTGGATGGGCATGGCCAGCTTGCCACTACTCACTGGGTGTGGCTGACTGAATGTGTGTGGCCAGCTTACTGCCACTCCACAAACTGCTGGCATGTTTCCTCTTCACACTGGGTAGACCTGGCTGAAGCCACGCTGGCCTGATGTTACCTCTTTGCACTGGGTGGACCGGGCCGAAGCCGCATTGGGTAGACTGGGACCAAGCAATGCAGGCTGACTCCTTACATTTTCTAGGAGGGTCCTGCGGGCCGGATCCAACCACATCATGGGCCAGATGCGGCCTGCGGGCCTTGAGTTTGACACTCCTGATCTAAATCACACCACAGTCATCCTACTGCTGTTTTCTCTTTGTTATGTAAGGTAATGATTGCAAAAACAAAATGAGATCTGTACTAGAGCTGTTGCTGTAAACATATTTGAAGCTCATCCCAACTCCTAGAAATCATAGATTACTCCTATACAAGATAGGGCTGAAGTATTGACATGTATTAAATGATTGTCAGTAATGATTTAAAGAAGTTTATTAGATATATCTTTGCACATTGTTGCATATTACACTAACACACACATCTTGTAGAAATTATTCTTTGAGTACTGAAATTAATATAATCAAATCAACCCCCCCTCTACATCAAATAGGGAGAGCAGGCCATAAAAAGCTGATGGGAGTGATAGAAATCAGGTTCGCCTGATATGCCAGTTGCGCCCCTTTCTGGATCGGGACTCCTTATGCACGGTCACTCATGCCCTCGTCACTTCCCGCCTCGACTACTGCAACGCTCTCTACATGGGGTTCCCTTGAGGAGCACTCGGAGGCTCCAACTGGTGCAGAATGCGGCCGTGCGGGTACTTATGGGGGCGACATGGCGCTCCCACGTGACACCTCTCCTGCGCGAGCTGCATTGGCTTCCAGTGGTCTTCCGAGTGCGCTTCAAGGTGTTGGTTCTCATCTTCAAAGCGCTCCATGGCTTAGGACCCGGTTACTTATGAGACCACCTTCTGCCTCCGATAACCTCCCACCGGCCAACACGCTCCCACAGAGAGGGCCTCCTCAGGGTGCCGTCCGTCAGGCAATGTCGGCTGGCGACCCCCTGGGGAAGATCCTTCTCTGTGGGGGCACCCGCCCTCTGGAATGAGCTACCCCCAGGGATACGACTAATCCCGGACCTCCGGACCTTCTGCCGGACCCTGAAGACTTTTTTATTTCAGCAAGCTGGGCTGGGTTAAAAATCTTTTAATTGGGGAATTTTATGGGCAAGGGGTTTTAAATTGGAGAAGCCAAAGATAATTTAATTTCGTTTTAATGTATTTTAATATTTGTATTGTGTGTTTTTAATTTTGGCTGTTCACCGCCCCGAGTCCTTCGGGAAAGGGGGCGGTATAAAAATTTAATAAATAAATAAATAAATAGAAATCTGAAAAATCAATAATAAGAGGGAATCAGATATGTTAGAAGAGTATTATCTGCATTTTTTGCAGCTTTGATTTTTAATTACTGTAAACATAATTCTATACATTCTCTCTGTCTTTTTCCCTTCTGTACAGTCATGTCTAATTCTCAGAGACGGCCTGCACAAGTCTCTGCAATTTTCTTTCTTTTCTTCAAAATTGTTCATAAGTGGACTTTCATTGCAAGAAAGTGAGTGGCCAAAGGTCATCCAGCTGACTTTGTCCCTTTGGTGAGACCAAAACTCACCATCTGCCAATGTGACCCTCGTGTGCATTCTTGAAATCATTCAAATAACAGCTCAAGCCTATATCTACTATAAATTGAGTTTTTTTCTTTTAAAAATGTTGTTTACAATGCTTCATATTACAGCTGTCAGAAATTTCTTCTGTAGTATCAGTGTCTATGGATATTCCAGGTTTCTGGAATGAATTCAGTGACAGACATTCAACCCTCTAGGATTAGCAGAGAATGAAGAGTGAGCTTCAGGCAAAATCCTATTAATTTTACACTTGTAAAATAAGGAGAAAAAGCTTTTACTGTCTTTCACAAATTCTTCCCACAGACTCTTACTTTAAAAAATGCTGAGGTTTAAAAATCAATTGTTTTAAAGAAGTGTATTCTATTTATTCTTAAAATTTTCACAATTATTAGTATTATAGTGGATTTTATACTAGCTGTTTACAAACAGGATTGTCTTATTAGGTTATTTAAGTCAAATATTCCAGTTCTTCCCCGTGCCAAAACTAGAGATAGATAATAGAAGATTATTAGTATTAACTAATAAATTAAAATGATAGCATATAAATAATTGAGCAGTCATTGATCTCTGCTTATAGTTTATAACCCAATTTAACTCAGAATAAAACTTAAAGTCCTGTCTCAAACATTCTGAGATATTATAGATATCCCTATCAGTAGACAGAGAAAGGAAGAAGAAGAAAAAACATTCTTTGTTGCAGCTACAGAAATTTCTAGTCCTAGAAGTTGGAGATCTAGAACAGCCTGGCCTACTTACTGTATACTTACTGTATTAGCGTGCAACATTTTTTCCAGGGAAAATTTGACTAAAATATTTGGTAGTTATTTATTTCTATTCCTAAATGATTTATGAATAGAAATGTTCATTCATGAAGAATCCATGAAATATCCCACCCTTTTGAAACATTTCTGTCTTCCATAAACATTACCAAATCATCTTACAGAGCTTCAAACATGAATAGTGGCTAAGTATTGCTTAACAAAGTGGTTTACTTATATGTCATCCTGTCCCCCACTACAAATTGCAGTTCTTTAATGTTCACTGGGAATATGTAGCACTGAATTCATTTGAATGGAAGTGCAAGGCTGAACATTATTGATACATCTATAATTTCCAACAAATTTGTAGAAATTTCTCTACAGAAGATGCAGAGAATTAGGTTGCACGTTTTGTTGAAAGATAAGCATTATCCTTCAAATCCCTGCTAAATAACAGCTATCTACCCTGTTTCCCCCAAAATAAGGCATCCCCTGATAATAAGCCCAATCGGGCTTTTGAGCGCACGGCAATAAGGCCAAGCGCTTATTTCAGGGTTCAAAAAAATATAAGACAGGGTCTTATTTTCAGGGAAA